CGTGGTTACGAGGCAGAGGAATAACAGAAGAGGTTGACTTGGCTGCACGGTAGGTGTAACAACCCGAATTTCGATGTAATTTCGGGATCAATAAAATTGACAATATTTCGCATTTCATTTTAGTAAGTCTCGCCCAGAGCTGATCATTCTCGGGATACTAATCAAGGGGATATGGCTAACTAGGAAACGGTACGTGGACCAGGGACTCGATAGTGAACAGGACACCGATCTCGAGATATGATGAGGGAATATTTTGGGCCAACGTGGGCCGATCTTAGGAAAGGTGATGGATTTGGTTTGGTCAAGGCCAACAATGTACAATTGGATCGCAGGTGATTCTGCAAGACCGAAAGTGCACATGACCAACCAGTCCTGAACCTGAACCGAACGATCGCGACCTCTGGAACTAGTGATGATTTCTCATTCTCTCAATGATCGGGACCGTCGTAATTTGAATAACCCTAGGTCGATACGCGTATGTCCTAAACAGCCGCCCGTTAGTGAGAGACCCTGAAATTGAAAGTTTAGCGAGTTTTGTTCACGGAATTGGGGCCGGATTTCGATGTCAATTTTCGAAGGCTTAAGAGACTATTTTTGGGAATCTGACGTCATATCACACTGGCCACACACGTTTGGAGTTAGTATGAGTAAAAATTGAAATTTCGATCCGGGGGTGAAAAATTACGATTTTGCCCCTCGGGACGCCAGCGTTGCTTTTCGAGGCCAAATGAGGTTATTTTTCGAGGCTGACGCCATTTTTGGGTGGCCACGCATACCAGGAGTCGTCATGGCCAAAAATTGGAATTTTGACAAAAATTAGAAAAATAATATTATTTTATTCCCGAAACTTTGACGTGGATTTTCGAGGGCTTGCGCGATGAATTTCGTGATTTCGACACCGCATTATGTTGGCCACGCACATGGAGGGTTGGTACCGGCGAAAAATGGAACTTCGCCCCGGGACCGGAAAAATAACGGTTTTGCCCCTGGGCTATTTTTGGGTCCGAATTTTTGGGAAATTATTTGGGATAATTATTGATGATTATCAGCTGTATTATTGGGGCTAAATACCATTTTACCCTTCACTTTTTGGATAGGGATGGATTAGAACCGTTAGATTAGGGGCGTTTTGGTCATTTTGCGTAGATTGGCGACACTTGGCACCCTAGCCCCTATGGTTTGACCAAGATAAGACTCTCTCTCTCTCTCTCTCCTCTCACCCTCATCTGGCCAGATCAGTCCTCCCTCTCCCATAGATCACTCCCCCTCTCTTTTTTCTTTCATTTTTCTCTCTTGTTTGGCCTTGCCGGAGCAAGCCGCCGGCCACCGGAGCACCGCTGCCGACCACCGTGCCCCGCCGTCGACCACCACAGCCCCCAGCCTCAGCCTTACCCCTGTCTGACCCTTTCTCTCTCTATTTCTCTCTCTTTCTTCCTCTTTTTCTCTCTTTCCCGTCCGGCAAATAAGGCCGTCGGAGCTTCGCCGGAGCTCGGATCGCCGTTCCGTCGCCACCCGGCCGTCTAGCCGCGTTGTACGACGCCGATGGTACCTGTCCGTATAGTGCCCCCCCCGTACGGTAGGTACTGTAGCGCCGTACGGTCCGCCGTCCGTACGGTCGTCGCGCCGGCCACCGCCACCTCGTCGACCACCGTTTTCCCCCTGTCCGTACAGTGTCCGTACGGGGGGGGGGTGTCCGTACGGTACTGTTCACCGCCGTTCGTACGGTCACTGTTCGCGCCGTCCGTATGCCGTCGCCGGGAATTCCGCCGCCGGTTTCACTGTTCACCAGTGATCGGCTGCCGTTCCCCGTCGTCGTGACCTTGGATTAGGTGAGTAAAATTCCTAAATCCGGATTAGGACTGATAGTGCATTTTTCTGGACTGGTTTAGGAATACTAGTACATGCTGAGAGGGATTAGTGTACCGATTGGTGGGAATTGTTATCGGGAAAAATGTAGTGGATCAATGAGAATTTTTTGGGGAGAGTAATTGGATTGATCGGCCAATTTAAGAGCCCATTGGTGGAATTGCCGGGTATGTCCGGGTTGACTGATTGTATGTAATTCGTGCTTAATTGTGATTGATTGAGTACTGCTATGTCGCATGTGGTGTGGCTGATTTTTGTGGAGTGCGAATGGCCACTGTTTGGCTTGCAATTAATTATTGAATTGTGAATCGCACATCGGGCCACATGGTATTAATTGGGCCAATTGAGCACGTGTTGTGATATTGAGTGTTTGAATTTCATTGGTGCTCATGGTGCATTGCATTACATAACATGGACACGCATTATGTATGCCTAGTGTGAGGCATGTGGGGAAATTGTGCGTGAATGCGTGCCTGCCATGAGTGTGTGATCACCTAAAATACCCTGAAGCGTCATACGCTGGGTTTGGATAATAATGAGTTGCGTGATCACCTAAAGACCTTCGGGCCGTGACCTTCGGATCGATACCGTCCTCATGCACTTTGAAGCAGGATGATGCCCGGTACGTCCGGAAGACGACCATCCTCATGCACTTTGAAGCAGACTCTGGTTCGTAAGGAGATCAGTATTGCGCCTCATGCACTTTGAAGCAGGCTAGAGACACTGGGCCAGATCGGTTGCTGCGCCTCATGCACTTTGAAGCAGGCTAGACGCACCGGGCCGTGAATGTTGTTGACTCGAGTCGTCGTAATAAATAATAAATTGGGCGATTGCCAGTGTGGACCAGTGGGCCGGGAAATGCACGTGACCTGTCGACGACATTTGCATGCATGAACATGCATGGACTGGCATGCGAGTGTGTGAGACTCGGTGCATGAGCATGTGATTGGCGTACGTGTGATAATGTGTGCCACGTATGTGCCGTGACTATTATATGTTGATATGTCTAATCTGCAGGGTTCGAGAATGGTTTGATTATTGTTGTATTGTGATTTAAATATTTATTTCCGGTCAGGAGATTGCATACTAGCCTAGCCTAGGTTTAGGGGTTGAACTCATTGAAATTCGTCTCACGGTTGTGTAAACCGAAACTTTTCAGACCCCCAACCGTGAGGATGGAGAGACCACCGACTCTTTTTGGGATCCCTGTACAGATTTGGCAGTATACCAGTACCTACCCCTCAGGTAATGGGGAGGCTTTCGTGAGGTATCGATCAGTAGTATATGTGGAGATAGGCGAGTATTTTTACCAGAAGCAGGAGTACGTGGCATGGTGCCACCGGGATGCCGATGGAAATGTGGGAGAGCCCCTCATGACCTTTGATATCCCGGTTGATGATGTTGGGTTGATGCAGCCAATTATAGCTGATGGTGAGGTGATCGACCCTGAGGTTACACCCGAGTGGATGATGCAGGAGGAGGAGGTAAATGAGGAGCCTGATGTACTAGCGGAGGACCCCAAGCCGATGGATGAGGAGGAGGATGAACCCGAGGCCATGGAGCACGACGTAGAGGAGGACGGAGAGGTGGCAGAGCTGGGATCAGATGAGGAGGGGTTCGAGCTTTACCTTGACCCGGAGTTGGAGCCGGACTCCGAGGATGAGCGAGCCCAGGCGATGGATTCGGAGGAGTCAGAGTCTAGTGAGGACGCCTCCGAGGAGTCGTCAGAGAATTCTTCCGAGTCATCCGATCCTGATTGGGAACCTTAGGGTCACCCAATGTCCTTAGTTAGTAATGGGGGCCGTTACTTTTTGGACTGTAGCCCTCCCCCTGAGTTTTAGCCTGACCTCCCTAGCCACTTATCCCTTTTTGACCAAGTGGCTACTGATCATGTGTGTCTTTTTGTTTGTACTTGTAAATATTGTACAAAGGGTTTTTAATAGTAATATAAATGTGTAATTATTTTCTATGATGGTGTTTGATGTATGGCTATCCTTGGCTCATATCGTAATTGTCTGGGTTTGTTTATTTTATGCTTCCGCTTGTGTTTGATCTCTGTATGGGTGTGGGTCGGCGATGCTTCCTGGGACGTCACAGTCAAACGACCGAAAGTGGGATGCTCGTACTTCGTGGGGTACGGGGCGTGACAGTAGGCTACTGACATCACCACAAAGGAGACAGACAAATTGAAAATTGATGTCGAGAGAGGGATATTAGTAGTGATTTAAAAAAAAAAAAACAGAAAGACATAAGATGTGATGTATTGCATTCGGGTGTACGCTCAGCCGGTGCACTCAAAATCCCCTCGGGATCGCTTGAGAGAGATTTGTGTAAAAACTATCAATTTTAAGGGCTTTGTTACGTAACTATTTTTGGGCAACTATTAGAATAACAGCATATTATGACCCACACACTCTTGAAGGAGTATATCCCAAGCAATTTTTAATTATTTGTTATTTATTTTTTTATGGCCCAAAACAGACTGTTATTCTCACAGTAGATTAATGATTATCACATAAGCATTTCCCAAAATTTTTAATGTGTTTCGACATGTTTCAACGAAAAGTACATGATTATCTAAGGTAATATGATAAACATAATACCAATTATAATCAATTAAGGACATACATAATCAAATGAGATATATGTATAATCCTAAGAGCTATAAAGAATCAAGGTAAATATCATAATATCGCTAAACAAAGCAAGTTATAATTATGTCTCGAAATATATGCTTGGAGTTTGCAATCAAACATCGGTCCAAATATCTCTTTGAATTCCCCATTTCATTCTATCCGCAATCCATAGAAAAGTAACAGTTTTCAATAGACGGGGTTTGAAAAATAGACACGAGTACAATTGAAATTTATTAAGATCGTTGATGTTGATTTTCTAATTTCCATTACATTCAAAGACCTCATTATTGATGATCACCATTTTTTTTGGAGACAAAGACCACGTAAAATGAAATATTGTCAAGTTTGACTACTGATTCCTCGACAAATACAGTATGAATTCCCCAATATACTTCCGTTTTCATTGACTTTCTACATATATAAACCCATCCAAGGTGGGCCTTGGGGCTATACAAATCGTTCTCTTCTTCTTCTTCATTTCTCTCTCTCTCTCTCTCTCTCTCGATTGGTGAGTGTTTTGTTCAGACCAGAACCGTTAGTATGGTTGGTGAACTGACAAAAGAACAGATTCTTGAGTTCAAAGAAGCTTTGTGTCTGTTTGCCAAGGATGGTGATGGTGAGTTTTACTATAGTCGTGCACATTTTCATTGACTTCATTTGCCAGCAACTTCTTTTATTCATCAGTAGTCCTTATGGGCGTAAATTTGCAGGTTGCATTACATTGGAAGAACTTGCGGCGATTATTCGATCGTTAGACCATAGCCCATCCGAGAAAGAACTGCAGGACATGATCGACGAGGCTGCTGCTGCTGACGGTGACGGCGCGATCGAGTTTGCGAAGTTCTTGGGCTCGATGGCTAACAACATCAAGGTGAAAACACACGAGAAAATGCAAAGAGCTGGCCTCTTATTGATACCTATGATTGAACATGCAACCATATGATCTCAATCTAATGTTCTGTGAGTCTGAAACGTTATCATTGATCGTGGATATGTGTATCAGGAGGATACTGATGTGGAGGAGGAGCTCAAGGAGGCTTTCAAGGTCTTTGACAGGGATCAGAATGGTTACATATCTCCTAGTGAGGTAAGCTCATATCTCCTGCATATACAATGTCTTGATTTCGCGTTGAACGTCGTCCAAATGCATTTCTTTAATCCAAGCGAGGACGTAGATAACCTTGCATGCGCACTCACGCACTAAACCCACTCTCAAATTCTCCCATGGGATTCACCAGCTTCGATTCAAATAATCTTGTTTGTCATTACTTTGTCATCACTCATCACCATTCGAAAGAACATCACCAATCCATGAAAGATCTTCTATTTGGGCACGAAAATGAATGACGCTTCTTTGCTTAGGAAAAATAGAAGGCAGTTTTGGTTGATGATTTTGTTTCTCTTTGGCAGTTGAGGCATGTGATGATCAACTTAGGGGAGAAGCTGACAGAGGAAGAAGTGCAGCAGATGATAAGTGAGGCAGACTTGGATGGTGATGGTCAAGTTGATTTTGAAGAATTTGTGAAGTTGATGAGCACCATTGGATGAGTTTCTAATTCCTTTATCCAAAAATGTAATTTGCAAAAAGAATCGTCATTTCCTTGTAAAAACTGCATTTGCCCTATTGCCTCCCTTCAATTTGCGTACCTATCATAGGACTTTAACATTCTAATTTTCATTCATCTTGTTGATCTTTTGTACATTCTTCCATTTCTAATGCAAATTCGTGGACATCTTTTTTCCTTTCTTCTGTCCTTTTACACTGATTGCAAGTGCATGGAATTATGTTCCTATGTCAATTTAAATTTTGAAGAGTTCTTTGCCGAACAAATAAAGGAAAATGTATGTATGAACTTGTGGCAATTGACAAAGTAAACAGCTGAAGTTAATTAAAGAAATCTAGGACCTGGACGATACTAATAAAGCCAGAAGTGTCCTGTCGTCACGTAGAAGGATCGGAAAAGTAAGAAATTGGTCCATGATAAATCTGTCAATGTCCTATTGCAAAAGGTTATAAGGACACCAGGCACCATAATGACCTAAAACCAGCAAAAAGCCTAAGAGGGGTCCTATGAGGATTACTCAATACTCGCCAAATTAAAACTCTCAAACATATCCTGAAATTGACATGAATAGATCGGGATCAAAACTGCATCTAGACAGATGCCCGCAAAATTTTTCCTAACACTAGCTTTTATCAATAATATGGAGACGCTATCAAGAGCAACTTTTATCAACATTAGGTGACTGGGGATCCAAGCATGGGAATTCTAGAGCATTAGGTGACAGCCTCGAGATAAAAACCGAAGGAAAAAACTTCTGCATGCAGTCATAAAATTCTTTAATAGGTAGACAAAGTCAAAAATCATACCAAAAACATGTATAATAGTCTATATGGAGTTCTTTCTATGAGACCCACCAAAGATTCATTCATTAACTTTTTCAAAGCTCATTGGTTGGTTATTTGAAGAAATCTGTCATAATAGCACAAGAAACCATCATGTACAGACACATGTAAAGCTGCAGAAGGTCCCATCTTTGAATTGATGAATAGAATTAATATAAAGACTCCTTCGGTTTCACGTAAGATGAAGAAACTTCTCAAACATTTGGTCAAAAAGTTGGACTCTGACCAAAATAATGTTTTGGGCGAGAGAGCTGTAATTGAAACAAGAGATTTTCCCAAGAAATTTTGTCTCGGAAACCTCATACAGGAAACAGTCATCTTCGCTTTTGGCAAAATGAAATGCTTCTACGGTCCGTTTCACCCTGATTATTTTGTGATCTCTGTCTCTTTCTCGCCCTCATGCCTTGAAATGAGAGTAGGAATAGGAATCTGGAAGTTCTGGTTTGGTTCACATTGGAAAAGTCACTTTCTCTTCTCTTATATATTGATGATGATTGAAAAGGTCAGGCATCAAAATCTGGGTTAAAGCTTGCGGAACACGCATCTCTTGAATCAGTTGTAGGACCTTTTCTTGATGCAACTAAGAAAGTTTACACTTTTCATCCATCTTACAGGAGACTTCTTACAGTATCTCCAACTTTTCCAATTTCTTAAAAAGTTAAAGCAATACATTCACAGAAGCCAAAGAAGTATATCAACTTATACTTGTTTAGATACGACAGGAGATTTTACCCATAACTAGGAAGGAAAATAAATAATTAAAAAAAAAGAAGAAGAGAAACCTGCAACTAGCCATGGTTGCAACACTCACTCTCGATTGGTTTATCCCAAATACTGACCAACCAACGAACTTGACCACCCTCTCTTCATCAATCCTCATATCTGATTTTACTGTTTCTCAGTAAACTGAAAAGAAAAAACCCTCCAAAACAAAGTAAAAACAATCAAGTAATGGAAATCCCCAAAAAGCTTGCTTTTTCTTCAATGGTGGATGAATCTTCAGTTGATGACAGTAGCACAGCACATGCAGTTGCCAAAGAGGGAGGGCCTGAACTTCCTCTTCTCTTTACCTTTTGGAGAGGTTGATGCAACTTCTTCTGTAGGAACCACCCACATCGCCTTGCTTGCCTTAGTGTCAGCTTCATTGACCACTTGTTTCTGTGAAGTGGCAACAACATAGGCTTCTTGCGTTTCATCATCTTCTTGTTCTTTCTTTGACAAGCCTAGAAACGGGGTTGTCGATTTCTCGGAGTCCCTTCTGTCCATCCTAACAGTCTTCTCTTCCAAACACTCCACTCGCTCGGCTCGATCACAACGACCTTTCACCGACATACTCCTGAATGTGCTTCTATCAGGGAAGAGCAGCGGCGTCTGATCTGACTCTTCGCTTCTCGACCCAATAAGGAGATCGAAATCGAAGCTAGGAAATTTCTGCAGCTGAGGATGGATGTTTGTGTCATTATAAGACTTCAATCCTGTGCTTAGGCTACTCGAAATTATCTCCAGTTTGGTATCGCCACCAGGAGTCACAGGCACTTGGCACTGTCGTGATTCACTGTTGCATTGATCCCCTGAAGCTTTTTTGTCTGATACAGGATGCGTGATCATTACAGGGTAGTCAAAGGATGAGAAAGAATCACAGATATGTGGAGAATGTACTGGGATGAATTGTTCTATGATATCTTTTCTGCTTGTATCATCTGCAATGGCCTGTGAAAGCTCTGTTTCCACATGTTTGTCTTCTATCATTTCCTTTTCAGTAGGTTCTTTCTCGTCATGATTGGTATCTCCAGCTTCTGGCTCTATTGAAATTGGCATGGAACAGTCTTCTCCTTCTATGTACTCAAGAAAGTCCTCGGATGCCTCAGCACATATCTCATCCCGAAAACTGTTTTCTGTGACATCGGTCACCTTGACTTTACATTCCTTGTCACTTGGGCAATCCAAAGGCACTTCAACTGTGTTTCCCACATCATCAGTTATGGTTTCAAGTCCAACAACCATTTCGGATACATCCTTTGCCTCGGCCATTTCAGGTTGAACGTTGCACAGTTCATCAGAATGCCCAACCGGGCCATCATCACACTTGATGCTATTTTCATTCACGACTCTACTGCTTGTGAACTCAATTTCTTCCATGGCAAAACCACTTTGGTCCTCAAGTTTCGAAACTTCTGGAGGAGAGTATGGGGAGTGATCTGCCACAGAATCTTCAGATTGCAATGTGGAACCACCTACTGTGGTCGCCTCATTGAGTTTTTCTTCATGGCCAAAATTCAGAAAGTTTGATGCCGTTCTGTCTTCCAATCGATTTTCATTGTTCATCATCAACAGCTCAACATTGGATTCTTTATCACCTTCCACTTGTTCTTGTTCCAATTTTAAATGTGTAAATTCAATGTCAGCACTGGAGAGGGAAGTAACATTCTTGCTGCTTGGTGTTTCGGTCTCTAGTATTGGATCATTGCCCTCAGCAAGGAATGTTGAAGGTGATCCTAGAAAATCCTCTCTTGATACTTCCAATCCACACGCATCTGACGCCAACACGCTAACATCGACCTTATCTAATCCAAGTGGATCGGTTTTAACTCCCTGAGATGTTTGAGTTTCCGAATCACCCAATACAGTAAGACTGGAATTTGTTTCTCCGTTTTCAACTGTTGAATTAGTGAGCCATAAGCTAGTGAGACTGAGAGTCGAGTCCTATACTCCTACTTTTTAATGGAATACAATTAATTCGAAGCTACTTTCATACATGGGAAGTGAAGTAGCTACTATGGTGCTGCTAAACTAGTAGATCACATTACTAACCTTCTATATTAGCTGCCTCAATATTTAGCTGACTGTCGCTTTTGTCACAGTCGCCCACATCTGATTCCATTGAAGGCTCCATATCCTCCGGATTCACCAACAAAAGTTCTGACTGGTCTTCTACATATTCATCTCCTTCAGTTACTTCATGTGTGGCTTGAGAAAGAAGAACTCGAGGGTCTGTAACAAAGGTTCAAACTACAGGTTTTATAACGTCACTGAGAAGAAAATAGTTGGCTTAACCAATGTAACATAGACTAGGAATGATAAAATACATCTCATTCCTGATGTTTCGAACGAGGATTATCCTGTGTAATTTGCCTGAGAGACCATGATAGCAACAGAATTTTTCAACTATAAGTACTACAGAAACTAGTAGTTGCTTTTTCACCTGATATTGATTGGTCAACATGATTATCTCCTGCAATTTCACAATGGAAAGCCAAGTCTTCAGCTTTTTCATGGGAGTCCTTGCTGTCATCTTCTGCAATCAGATGATCTCCTTTCACATCATTTTCCTTGACAGTCTCGTGTAAGGATCCATTCGGAGCATCGACCTTCACGCTCTCCTCCTCAACTTCTGTGGAAGGAAAATGATTTAAGTGAATATAGTCAATGCATGAACACAGAAGGTACACGACATAGAGAGCTAAAAATCGACATGATACCTTTGAGAGAAGATGTGTTGTTGTTTCCCATCTCATTCCCCATGTTCAATTCTCGATATCCTGCAATATAAACTAAGATGGTTTAGTGTTAAGGTCAACCGAGATGAGTGGAATATTTCCAATTATAGGTTCCTGAAAAAAAAAAAACTTTTTTTGACTTCAATCAGACCGTCTGAACTTCCTACCATGAAGTCGATAATGATAATCGCATGTGAATAGCCGTGTAGCTTTGAGGACATCTTCATTTCTTATGAAACTGACTGAGTTTATTAAAATGGCAGCTACACAAATGTTTGCTTAAAAGATAAGCCTCAATTCAGGTCACCGACAGCTGAGCAGAGGAAACTGCTGAAAGCATCATATAATGCCTTCTTTTTTTTTTTACTCTCTGCGCCTTCTCTGATATTGACACTCCCTAGATGATGAATCATTAGATGCTATGCATCCACCGAGGCATCATTAACTTAATTTAAAGGTTCAGTTTTATCAGCCTGGCATTGCCTTTTGCATTCGAAGTTCTAACTTTGGCCTGGGCATATCATTGTGTCCCTGACAACTCTTTTCAAGAGGAATATCCAGGCAACTCTCAGTCTGACCAGCCTCCTACTTTTGGCCCCATAGACACCACGTTCAAAGAAAGTGTCTCTGGTATTTTCACTTGAATTCAGGCTCACCAAAACTTTTGTGTGCAGACTCAGTCCGCACTACGTAAAACTTTTAGACATAATTTCCAGTAACCAGACAATAAAGCTGGTCTATATGAGCCCCCCAAAAACTGGAAGAATCTTCTGGCTGCACATTAATGAAGCATCTTATTATATGATAACACTAATATGATAATCAATTGATCCATTATATCTTATCTTTGAGTGGTCAGAAAACATTTCCCCAGGTAAAGTATGGAACAAGGAAGCTTTTTAATACGTGAGTTGCAGATTAATGTATAGGCTATACAGTGCTTTTTTTAGCTGTCATTGGGGTATACGAAATCATTGCCCTGATCTGGCCTTGAAATGGTGGGTCTTCTGTTCAAGATTTCTTGGTGTTAAAGCCTCAATTCTGAATGCAATGTGGCAAGATCAGATGCTTTAGGTCATCATAACAGCGCTTTGCCACTGGAAAAAGCTCAACTTGTTAAAGAGAGAAGTTTAAGTGGACCCTCCCAACATTCTTCTCATTTATTAGTCCGGATCAAGTCCCTACAGTACTTTGCTTCGCACATTTGATTAAACACTCGAAATGATTACACCGTTTTACCTCCATCTGGACCAGATTCTCCCTCGGTTCATCCAATCGATTTTGCGACATCTTGAAAGAGCAGTCATTCTTATTTTACGGTCAAAATGTAGATTAAAGGAGCTAAAGTTTTCAGTCAGGTAAGGAATTCCATAGCAAATATCACAGGCTCTTTGGGGTGAGTTTCAAATGTTTACTGCAAGATTCGAATTGTGCACGGTCACTTCAGTCGCCATGAGGGTTGCAGATTTACAGATATAGATAAACAAGAGGAGTGTTGCCTTCCTCATGCCCGACATCAAATGCAAAGACGAGGCTTATACTTCAAGTTAGCGTCAAATCAATTCGAGTCTTTGAGAATGAAACTCAGTTTTTGCCCCTATGTCGTGGTACATGATCGCATTGGATGGGATCTAATTACTAGTTGTTAGTAGCTGGTCTAAGTTGGATGCTTTGACACTATGCTTCTTTGTACAACCCTCGTGTTAAACATAACGAGAACTCAGAGAGGTATTGGTTGTTAGGGAACACCATGGTGGATCCAAGCTGCCTTCTTGGGGGTCTGCTGCAATGCAGTATTGAAAGCCTAATTACTCTCCTTGCTAATTTAAGAGCATCGTATGACTCATCGAGTACAGACGGATTCAAACTACATGCTGGGGTTCTCGCATTTAGGATCTTCCTGGAAGTGACAGTTTACGTTAAGCTCTCATAATCGGCAGTGCGACAGAAACGACACATCTACACTGGCCCTGGAATTCAATTATCTAAGCATATAGAAACTCCCATCTTTACAATCCGCTGTATCACTTCTATGAGCAAAGCTTTTTCCTAAGTTAGTCTGAAAATATGCTATGAGTGATGCTTTATGCCCAAAAATGCGATGATCCTTTGCCCGATGGCGTCGTGTGACATGAGAGCAAATCCAGTTCTTGGATCAAGTTTCAATACGAGCAGGGCCGTTCGGGCTTCAATGAGAGCCTTCGACCCTCTACACGCCCGAACCTAAAATAACAAGAAACAGAAATACACAAGACACTATCTGCACTTCATTAAACACAACCACCATATTTTACAATGGGCTCGCATGCACGCAACAACGAGCACTCCCAATAACAATTCCAGGCAAGTCTTGCATATATTTATAGCTGCACCAATGACCTGCTTGGATTTTATTCCGAGAAGTTGATGCGTAACTCTGGGATATGGAGCACCCAGGAGTCAGAGGCTTTAGGTTTTCTTCCAAACAAATCTAGTACATAATCACACGGTAGGTCCCGCCTTAAGCTGGAACAGCTTCCGGAACTTTGCCGTTGTCTGCAGGTGCCAGGCTGTCATAGTAGTCGACCAATACTTTCCAACCACCGGGGCACATGAAGCCATCAGGTGGGCTCTCTTTGTTCTTCGCAAGTGTTCGCATCTGAGGATGGAAGCGAGCCATGTAAGTGCAATTTCTAACGGACGGAAGCAAAAAAATTGTAAGAATCCTCTTTTTCCCCGACAATTCTGTGAACCATTGTCAACTAAAAGACTATCGTCTCAGAGACTATCCTTAAATCTAACTTTAGTTGAAAGAACATTTCCATAATCACTGCTAATCAAGGACAAACATATCTACAGTTGAATTGATGGGTTTATCATACCATATGTATCCCTCAAGTATATAGATCTTCTTTCTCACCCCAGTTATGACACATCGACTATTTTATGAAGCGGAAATAACAAAAATCCAGCTTTATCAGTCCATGGGCATGGAAGATACCTTAGTGCCCGAAATGAAAAGGAAATCTTGAGGCCTTGAAGGATCGAAAAATGCCATTTTCCCTTGTGTTTTGTCGTAAGCAGCAACCTGAAAGTCAATAAAACCGATTGTCGTCAGCGATATCAACACACAGAGGAGGAAGCAACAATGACAGCAGAAAGAAGGAAATGCCATATATCCAAAAGATTACAAAAACAACTCAAGGGCATCAGTATGCGAGAAGGTTTAATTACCTTAAACGGAAGAATGTTTAGCCTCTCCAGTCCAGGAGCCATGCTCAACACCTTCTTCCCATGGTCAGCATCATACAAGTCTCGTTTCTCAACTGGATGGCCCATACCAGCTGGGTCTCGACCAACAATATAGAAGTTAGCCCCAGCATTGATCCTAGCCTTTGCGTGCCACTGCACCTCTGTCGGGCCAGCATAGTGCATGGGAGAAGGGAATATTGAGACAACAGTTGTCTCAGGATCAAGAACACCATCCTCGAGCACCTGTTGCAGGCATGTTTGACTAGTGTTAGAGCATGCTCCCAAAAATCACGATGGAATTGTGATGTTTTGGCCAAGGGAACCATATCAGTAGCAAGAATGAGAGTAAAAATTGAATTTAGGCTCAGTCATTGCAATTATAATGTAACCACTACGACAATTCATCTTTTCCATCAGGAGTGGAGAGACAGTCAATGAAGGTAATTACGAATAATAAACCTCACCTGCCTCTTATAAGCATGTTGACTCTTTCATGGATGCAAAGACCCTGACATGAGCAACAGGTAACTCACTAACTCCTTTTTCATCTTGCGTGAATTCTTCATTGGACGAAAATGCCGAGTATGTTATTTCCTAGTCAGTTATTCTTCTTTAAAGAACTAATAGAGATGATTATCCTCCATCAAGGAGGATTTACTGGCACGATGACTTATTTTTCCGAGGAGAAATGGTAAGTTGTAGGAGAATTAAAAAAGGCAACACGCATCTATGTACCTACACATCTACCAAAGACAATACGGACCTGTTAAGATTAAAATATTTTATCCATCGTTTTCTAAGGATTTTAAGCTTTTAAAGAAGATGGTTGTGTGCAGTCAACTAATCCTTTATAAACTACAAATTACCTTCTCGTGTTGCTTCATTCGCCAGCTAAGGGGAACATCATCAGCCTTTGTGAAGCCTCCCAAGGGATGAAGAAGAAGGATGGGATTCTTGTACCCCATCTCAAGAAGTCGACGGCGTGTGTCAGTCATCAGCAGGGCATGCCCATTGTGGACTGGGTTCCTTAGCTGGAAAGCAAACACTGCATCCGCATTCCGCCGAGTGAATTCCTCGCGGAGATTTGCGGGTGAGAGTCGGAATCGATCCAGACCATCCTTGTACTTGATCGGTTCCAACACCTCTAAGTCGCCCCCAATCAACCAGTTCCCAGCATTGGTTATGGCTTCCTCAACATATGGCAGACCTGGCGCAGTGGTTCCCCATGTCCTCGCAATCCGTTCTTCTTTAGGGTGCTTGTAAATCTCAATGCTGAATGGACACATCAGAGTGAGAAAATATAACCAGTTTTGCGATCTGGAATGAGAAACTCAGAGACATGGTATGCTATATTGGAAATATTAAGAAATACAAAATATCGATTCTAGCAGTTGCAGCAAAGAGTCATTGTAAGCTCAAAGCGGTCCATCAATCAAAATGCAAAATGCCAATGAAAAAAACACACGCGAACAAGGCTATTCAGATGTAGTGAAAACCAGTCGATGAAAGCTACCCTGTGATATTGTCAAAAAGTGGATTCGACCAACCATACAACACGAGTCATTTAATCAAAGGATCTGCTGGGAGGATGTTCAGAACGTCCTACAAACAGAGTTTCTTATTCAGCTAAGTGGATGCTCAGGATTACCATAAATGACAAATATGGAGGGAGGTATGAAGAAGCCAAAGCCCTTAGTGAGCTCCAGTCAATCACCCCGAAGTCATGCTTCGATTTCAATCGCCCGCCCAGCTAGAGCAATTTTCGACAGTTTAAGGTGTTCATTACAAAGTCAACACTAAGTACAAGTAGAGGCTTATTTAATTTATTGGAGAGCGGAATTTCCAAAATTTTTGGTGATAAGCCTACGCCGGCGAGCTGGATTGGATATCTGAACTTAGTCACCTAACAAGCAGGCACTTGGACTGTTTTCTGTCCAAGTTCATGATTAACATTTTCCAACATTTTTATGTAGCTATGACTCTCTGTTATATTTTATAACCAGGTCAAAAGGGAAGAATTATCTTACAAATGCATACTATCTACGTTATATTTATTTTCTTTGGTCGGATATCTACGTTATACTAATTTACATAAAAGTATATATATTAGAAACTAGACACATATATGCTATATTGAGAGAGAGTGAGAGAGAGATGTTTCCGAAACTTCATTCGCCTAACGACTAGTCAAATCGGACGGCTCTCGATCACGGTCCTAAACAAATAAATAGCATCGACAGAGTTGATGCAAACAAGCAATTTATTGGTCCCGATTCGACATAACATTAAAATATCTCTCACGTCAATAGAGTCGTCTCGAGCACAGTATTATTCAGTTTAAAGGCAATTTCGCGTCCACAGACATTGGACATAAGGTCATTGTACGTAATTGGCGTCGCCGATAATCCATTCTTTCCTCATATGGGTTTGGTATCGCGATTATCCACTTCTTCCAAATTAGCACTGCGACCCACCATCTAATTTCTCGCTTGTACAGATAACGCGAGCTTGCGTACATCTCAAGCCTCCAAACATCAAGTAGTAAACTTTTACCGATCAGAGCCTTCAAAACTGTCTCGTCAACTCAGTAAAGCATATGATAAGGAACAGCATAAACATATGTCTCGCATCTAAATAAACTCCTAATTTTCATGATCCCTAACCTCCAAATTAAAGAAGATCAACAAATTCTTAAAGCCCCAAAACTCCTAAAAACCCATCAATCACTATCGAATTACAATAACCCATTATCCATTATTCACCTAAAAACTCGAAACACAGTACCAAATTCCTATCTCAAACAAAGCCATACCATTTACACAGTCTACATTAACAGTACTAATGTAATGACAATGCTACCCAAGGAAAAAACAGAAATGATGATGACGTCGTGCATACGAGATTCTCACTCGTAAGAACTTGAATCTAATCGAAAGAAGGACGAACCAAATTTTAAAGAAAACAGCAAAGATTATGAATCGAAAGAAGCTCACTCACTCGCTGAGGATGGCGACGGGGTTGTCGTCGGCGTCGAAGAGCGCAACCTTGCTGGACTCGCCGATCCGGTGCCGGTCGGCGTCGTCCACGGCCAGCACGATCGGGACGGACATGTTCACGACCGAACCGTCGGCGAGACGGAGGGCGTTGAAATGAAGAGTTTGGAGGAACTCGGACTCGCGCATGAAACCCCGGAGCGGGCTGGCCCACCCCTCGCTCAGCACGTGGACCCACTCCAGGTCGATCCGCGACAGCTTCACCCGCGGCAGCGCCAGGCTCTCCCGCGCCCTCGCCCGCCGCAGCGGCTCCTCCACCACCAGCTCCGACAGCCGCCCCCCGTCCGGCTCGATCAGCCCCGACCGCACCCGGAGCCCCGGGTGGCGGCGGCGGCGGCGGCCCCCCTCGTCGGCGGCGCGGCGGGGGACGCACAGGGCGGGGGGAGGGGACAAATGGGTACTCGGCGAAAGGCGCGGCGGGGGGCGGCGGCGGCGGGCGGAAGGGGTGCTGGCGAAGGCGGCGGCGGCCATGGAAGCCATGGGATTTGAAAATGGGAAGGAAGGCAAAGATCAAATTTTTGGTGGGGTAGTGACTTTATACCAATCAATGAACCGGACCAACCAATGATTTAATAAAAGGGAAACAAGAGAAGACAGTAAAAATTGAAAGAAAACGATATAAAACGAGGAAGAAATCTGGTGGGTGATGGATAAAGGAGGGACCTTTTTAAGTTGTTTAATCCGGTTTGGAGGAGTGCTGGGTGGAGGTTGAGCTGGACATGAAAAGTGTGGAGGACAGAGTCTCCCTCTGCTCGGAGGAGGGCCTTTTATAAGAGAAAGAAAAGAAGACGAAGAAGATGGTGGCGGCCATGGTGGCGATGGTGGTGGGAGGTTTCGTCGAGGGAGGATGAACCTGGACAATCTTAAAAGTTCGGAGCTTTGCGGTCTTTGATTTGGATTTTGATTGGGATTTACTTGCTCCTGATTCGCTTTGCTGCGTTAATTATTATGACTGTGTGGCTCTCCCTCTGTCTCTCTCTCTCTCCATCTTTATTATTTGTTATGTCTGGTTGGTGTCGCTTTTGCCCTTGTCGCCTTGGGGGGTCTCCTTGGTCATTTGTCCCCGCCTCCTGCTCTCCTGTCGGAAAGGTGGAGTGTCGAAAGTACCCTCGCCATGCGTTTCGGGAGCACGTGCGGTTTTTTCGTTCGGGGTCTCCTTGGTCATTGTCTCGCCCTTTGCCCTTCTGTCGGAAAAGTGAGATGTCGAAAATACCCTCACACGTGCGGTGTTTTCAAGGTTTTCTGATTTTCCTCCACCCATTTTTGCCTTTCTAGCGTCCCCCCTTTTCTTGTTTTCTTTAGATTTTGTCCCCCTGAATTTTCCAATCATAAAATATCGGTTTTAGAATTAAATTCTTCTATCATTTCGCCCTGTTTTTTTCCTTAATTTCTGGCGTGCATTTATTAAGGGGGGGAGGGGGGGCTTCAATTTTTTTAATATCTATAATTTCAGCTTTCGAGATTTGAAGTTTATTTTTTTATTTTGGCATTTAATTTTTACTTTTTTCCATATCTGCAGCTCACATAATTTGACTTTTATATTACGCGAAACTCCCGAAACCCTTTTAAAATATACAAACGTTAACATTTTTTAAAAAAATTACAATATCTTATCGAGTTTTCGTCTTTTTTGAAGAAAAAAGAGTAAGAAAAAGCAATTTTCCTTTTTCTGGGTCAAAAACAAAAACTCCCATAATGTCATATTAGCAAATCATCAACCCCTAAAATAGTGAGACCAAGCCTACAATAGAGCCCACTCCCTGGCTTTAATCACTAGCTAATTAAACAAACACTTTCGACCAAAACAAAATAAAATTAACAAACACTTGGGGCGGGGACAAGATGGTCACTTCACCACGAGGATAAGCTTTTCCCTAATAATGCCATGTAGTGCTAAAATCAGAGAGGCCACCATCTTTTTTGCCGCAATTAAAAAACACAGGGATTTTCATTTTATTTTATTTTCCGAATTTATTTAATTCCTCTAAATTATATGAGGAAGGAAAAAGAGAGGTGGCGATGACGTGTCGGGTTGACTTGACCTGTTGTTGATGCGCTTTCCTGGAATCTTCTTGATTTGAATTCTAAGAGAGACGCGCCAAGAAGAGACAGCGATTCCTCCCAAAGTGAATCTTGCCCGCTTTTCGGTCCACGTTCAGGTCGGCTGAGAATCCAAGGGCAAAATGCTCTCTCTCCTCCTCTCCTCTCGTGACATACGTTTTGGTCGCCTTCTTCGTCTTATATTAATAACCATTTTGGTTTCCCGACCCCGAAAAAAAAAAAGAAAAACATTTTGTTTTTCGCATTCCATGTCGGGCCGGGGGGGACGTCAGCGATTTACAGCACGTTCTGTTGCGGTCGCGGCTCGTTAAGTTACAGTTCTGTCACGAATTCGATTGCCCGTTATAACATTTTCTTGCGTTAGTGACTGGAGTGACTCCTATTACTGTCGAAACCGTTTTATCTGTCGTAATTATTCTCTCGGTCATATTTAATTTTGCAGTAATGATTGGGATGATACCAAAAGCGTGGACCGTTTACATAACTCTATTTTAGTACCTCTAAGCAAAAATCCGTATTAATAAAGATCATATTCTTCTCCTTATAAGCCCGTTCACCTTATTGCTTGAGGTTTGAGTGGTATGATTTTTTTGATTGATTTTCAGTGATTTGGGTGGGCATGACAATTTGGAATTTGGGGATGGATAATTTTAGAAAAAAAATAATTTTTTTAATATAGGGATATAAGGATAATTAATGTGGATGTGCAAAATAGTCTCCAAGGTTAAAAAAAAAAACTTATGTATGTATTTAATATTTCTAAAAGTGGAGAAGTGTAAATGATCATTGATTGAAAAACAAGATATGTTTTTGATACTTTACCTAAAAAATATTTCTTCTGATATCATTGCACGTTTTATGATTACATTAAATTGTATGTAATTAACAAAGAATATATAGAAATTTATGTATTAAACTGTAATATCTTGATAATATATATGAGGTATTAGAATCATTATCAACTATCGAAGTGATAATTACTGTAAAAATCACATCCTACGTGCTTAGCTTTTAATAATAGTCATGAACAAATTATTAAAACAAAGAAACTTATTTGATGTAATAACTATATCTAGTTATATAGATAGAGGGATGAACACACTAATCGTGATTGACTTTTAAAGTGATAATTATTATACTCCCTTTAACTCTAATTTTGGGTGTGCTTTCGAAATTCTGATGTTGTTCTACCCGTATTATATATGCCATTCATGAAACCAAACAATACAATAAGTATTAAATTGCTTAAACCAAACAGCGTCGCAGTTATTACAGTTCTATAACATTACGTCGTGTATTTCCGGTTTTGACTAATGACTCCAATTTGTTTCCGGTTTTGTTATTGATTTAGATAAGAATACGTTAAGTTGAGATTATGTACCTCAAATCAAACAAGTGCTAGAACAAAAAGGGGATGTTTCCTTGTTATAAATTTATAATCGTTGAAAAAATAATTATAAATGGGTAGAACAAATCTCCACACTATCACAGCTCACTCAAATCACTCATTCTTAATATAAAAAATACAGTTTTTGATCTCTAAATTGCCAAAAAAAAAAAATCGATCAATAATAAAAGAACACGCTAGGAGCGACCTACTACTAATTTTTAGGAAATTTATTGATTAGATCATAGCATGATTAGGCCTAAAAGCAAACTGATAGTGATGGCTTGGTGAAAGAGACTTTATCCATTTGTTTTCATTTCTCTATTCGATTCATTGATTTCCTTTGTTTCAACACCCCTAAGATTTCCCCCGTTTCTTCAGTTTCGTGCTTCCCTTATCATTCTTAGCTCACCATACCCAATCAAATCCCGAAATCCCGACACCAACTCGGTTCCTCTCTCGAGCCAATCGCATGTACCTCGAAGCTCTCAAACCATCCGTTATTGCCACGAAATTTCGAGAGCATGTCCCGGCACGCTCTCACGTGATATTCTAACAACATTGGGGTCAAACCTCATGTTTTCCGTTTTCATTTCATCACCCGCAACCCAAACAGAAGTCCTAATCACGGTAAAAGTGGGTACCCATTTTTCTAAAGTTAGTGAATACAGGTTTCTTTGAAAGAAACATCCAACATGAATTTGGTAGGGTTACGCGAATAATATTATGCGTTTTTCGCTCATTTCATTACAACTGTAGCTAGTGTCTGTCAGTGTCATTATCTAAAGTTGGGGGCTCTTTTAGGGGATCGGGCCATACATAGGACTCTACTCGGCTCGCCTCTTTCGGGTGTGTTCTTAATTGAAGTAGAGTTGCCTAATCATAGGCACTTCAACCTCCATTCTCAACCAGAAATCTCTCAAAATTGTTACATGCTGGCCACTCTTGTTGGCCACTGCTTCTTAAACTACCAACTAAGCTTAGAACCACAAAATACAACTACCCCTCATAATTTTCAACCGCTCGTAAGACCTACTACGTGCAAGAGACACGACTAGATTTTCACGGGATATTGAAACAACTGCTGGAAGAAGAAGAAAGAAGAAAGAAGAAGAAGAGGAGGAGGCATAAAAAACCGGATTTTCAAGCATTGGACCCAAGCATCTTTTTGTTTAAGTTGGATGTCAAATGAGGTGACGAGATTGCCGATCCGATGGTTGACTGCGAATGATTTCTTATGAGCAGTCGGTCTAGAATCGTGGATGTTTGAAAAGTGGTCCTGACAAAACTGAGTGAGTTTGAGATACGGATCATAATCACCTCCGACTTTGTTCTTAACACATGATACACGATGCATCTGATAATGTCAGTGGGGGAGGAGGTGACTGTTGATGCACGAAACACGTTCCATGACGTGGAATGAGCCCGGGTCTCGCCGACCTCTGGCAACCTTGGGCGAGGAGCCTCGCCTAGCTCACCCGAACAAGCAAGGCTCGAGCTCGTTGGTCTCGGGCGAGCAAGCAGGGCTTGAGCTCGTTGGTCTCGGGCGAGCTCGACCTCACCAGCCTGTGGTGAGGCTCGAGCTCATCTGTGGCCGTTCGTTGGCCTGGCAACGATCGATGATTGGGCCGATGAAGAAGCAAAAAAAAAAAAAAAGCAAAATATAAAAATTATTATAAATTAACAAATTTTGACTTTTTTGGTAATTTTTCTCAGAAAATAAAATTAAATACCAAACGGCGAAAAATATTTTCTAATTCATTTTCGGGTTTTAACCTAACACCGGAAAATATTGTCATTTACCCGGAAAATGTCTTCTTGAAAACCATTTTCCAAAAACGTCACATTTTTCGGGAAACGAACGGAGCATTAATTTCTTTTTTTCTTCATGTTCGATATCTGGAAATTACAAAGTTACTTATATATAGTTAGATGCATCGCGCAGTTAGTAATACCCTTATGATTTTCATGGCCCTTGAAATTTCGAGAAATGTAGCAATAGAATCGAGCATTCAATGTCATGATCCGGTCTTAACGAGTTAACAGAACCAAAAAGCTTTGCACATCAAACTACGATGGAATTGCGAAGAAAATCGTCTCTTGCTTTCCTGCATACAACAATTAATCACACGATCAAATTGCTTTACCAATAATCCGAGCAAGAGCAAGTCCCGTACCTAAAGTGATGGAAGCGAGTTCTGTCTCTAACTATAATTTCTCTGCCATATATCAGCGAAATAAGCTTGGTACTCGAGTGGCAGTCGCTACAGACCCGGAGGTTCTTTATGACCCGGATAGGAACACAAGGATCGGACGTGATCAGAGCAAAAGCGATCGCGAGCCGCTCGCTATGGTAAGACAACGCGTCTTCCTTCTCCTCCTCCTCTATGTCGAATAGCACGTCTCCGATAATTGGCTTATGACCATAAGCTCGTAATGCTCTATTTATATCGTCAAGCTTGGAATGAACCTCCTCTATCCGTGGGTGCGTTCGGTCACCAGTAAGGAACTCGTGCATGGCACCGTCAATCTCCACCAAGCTGCTACCGGGTACTTTGTCGACAGTATGATCTTTCATGAGTCTCCTTACCTTATTAACATCGTCCCATCTGTTCATCCTAGCATACAGATTAGACAAGAGGACATAGTTCCCGCTAATCTCGGGTTCTAACTGCAATAACTTCTTGAGTGCAACTTCTCCCATCTCCAAATTGCCATGAACTTTAGCTGCCCCGAGTAAGGATCTCCAAACAACAGCGTTTGGCTTCATGGGCATGTCCCTAACTATTTCTTCAGCCTCCACCATTTGCCCAACTCGACCAAGAAGATCAACTAAGCAACTATAATGCTCAAGTTTGGGCTCGATCTTGAAAATCTCTTTCATAGAATTGAAAACTGTCCGACCTTCTTCTACCAATCCAACATGTGAGCAAGCAGATATTGTAACTACGAAAGTCACATCATCAGGATTTAAGCCCTCAACTTTAATTTTGTTGAACAAGTCAAGCGCCTGATGCCCGAAACCGTGGGTTCCAAATCCGCCAATCATCGCATTGTGGCAGAATACATCCCTTTGAGGCAATAGAATGAACAATTGATAAGCTAAATCCAAACATCCGCACTTGGAGTACATATCTACGAGGGCCGTCGCTACAAAGAGATTCAACTGAAGACTGTGCTTCCTAAGATATGCATGCACCCAGACACCTTGAGCTAGAGCACCCAAATTAGCACAAGCACTAATGACAGCCACAAGGGTAACTTCGTTAGGCCTTATATTGGAGCCTTGCAGTTCTCTAAACAAATTGAAGCATTCTAAGGACAAGGTAGCATCCCCATCAGTTAGGACTCCAGCACAGGTGGAACCATTATTACGTGCATAAGCAGTTAAGACAGAGTTCCAGGAAGCTAAATCTGGATTGCTGATCTCATTAAACAGATGTCTAGAGGTACCCACCTGCCCTAGTTTGGCATAAAAAACGAGCAAGGAAGACTGTACAAAGTGATCATAAGGTGGCTCAAGGAACTTCAAGACATGGGTGTGTAAGGCTCGACCATGCTCTGCCCACTCAGAAGATCCACAGGCCTTAAACAGAGATGGATAAGTAAAGCTATTTGGTACAAGCGTCTTGTGACTGAGAATATGGTTGTAGAGAGAGAAGGCTATGTGAGTGTGATGCTTGTGGTTGATTATTGAAGAGATGAGTGTGTTAAATAAGAAGATTGTTGGATTCGGAATTTGATTAAATATGGAGAGCGCATAACTTAAGGATAGAGCTGACGATATGAGAAGGATACGGCTGAGAGGGTATGTGTGGACTGCCAGACCAGTTGTTATGGCTTGTGCATGAACTTGCTTGAAGGCCCTCAAGGTAATACATTTATCTAGAAGTTGAATAACTGGATGAGTGGATAAAGAGGTTAGGGAGACCATGAACTCCTGATTCTCACCATGTCAATTTGACAGACGGAAAATGCATTTCAATTTGCATCCGAAGGAGGGGAGAAGAGCGGAAGTGAGGCAAGTAAACGCGAACAAACAATTCCTCCTCAAATTTTGAGCACTTGCTTAATTGCATTTCTTTGCCAGACCTTCCAGAAAGTGGACGACATAGTGGACTTTTCAGAGGTGTATGCTCAATTTCTCCAGTGTAATGCTAAGGACAGAAAGCCTGGAAAACAAAGATAATTAGTTTGTCAAATTATATCACAAAACGCGACCATGAACCACACAAGTGACACCCACCATTGACCGATGATACCGGGATTATTCATCTGTGTATGACGGTCAAAAGGTGAAGAAACTCTAACAGAGGATGCCTTACATGTAGCTTTGCATTCCTTTAGCAACCCTCAAATTAGTCATCTTCAATTCAAGACAACCATCAACTTAAGCAAATATGATACTGGCATGTGCAAGAAAAACACAGCAATTAATCTTCATCCTGAAGCAATTATTCTACTTTCTGCTCACTTTTCCTGATTTTCATTGAGAAATGGGAAACAAAAGAGATCGAATGGCAAATAAGACAGTGTTCAAGTTACAGAACTAAAATTACTTCTTTACTCTGAAAGGCCCACAGAACTGTGCAGAATACAAACAGATTTGTGAACAAGGGCAAGTCATTTTGAAACAGACATCCTACTAAAAAGAAAAGAACCCTGCCTTTTGGAATCCACAGTCTTTAGTGGGGTACAAAGGAACTATCGGGAAAGGAGAAGTACAAGAAGAAGAGTGGCCTCAACAATGCAGTACTGCACATTTATATCAGTGTCTGTCTAACAGCATCAGTTAAACTTGCTCAGCTTTGCCAACCTCTGTAGCTTATTTTTAGGGTATATAATCTAAAAATTGCATACTAAAGTAAGTGCTAACTTGCATAACTGGATCCAAAGAACGAAAAGAAAACAGAAAAGGTCATGCTCACATGGTTTAGGTCTAATTCTACTACACTTCTAATTATCGTTAAATAAAACAGAAAAATCATCACTTATCGCAGCTCAACTATGATAATAGGCCTTAGCAGCAAGCAAAAGAAATTTCAGTTGATTTTCTGTTTGTTTCAGATGAGATGCTCTACTGTATCATATACGTCAAGTTCCATATTCACTATATTTCGGCCATTTCTCTTGGAATTTTCCCTGACCCACACTATAAGTGCCTAAAACAAATACAACCGTCAGGTCAAATGTGCCCCATCTGAAAGAGAAAAACATTTGCTTCTCCGAATATGCACACGGATTGAATATTCTCATCAACAACTTCATATCTCAAATACAGATCTTTAATGTGATCTCTGATCATGTATGATTGCAAGTACATGGTGCAACAAGAAAACTCCAATAAGATGATCCCAGTATTGATCAAAAAAGGGCATGTAATAATTGACAGGGGGTATCAAACCAAGCTGAAGAATTCAGCAGCAACTCCCGTTTACATTCTAGGCAACAGAAAAATTTTATGAAGTATGCAAAATCATCATAAGTCCTTTTCCAAATTGAAGATCACCATGCTAGTCACCAATCGAGATGGATCTTTTCTTTCAAATTTAGACACGTATCATAATGAGTATTTGAATACAGATTTCCAGTGTCTCTTGAACTTTTCATAGACCAACTGTATTATGTTAAATATTTTGTGACAGTTAACAAGTGAAGAATTATCATCAAGGCACGAATAACAACAATCCGCTTACCAGAGCAATTATTTTCCACTCAGGCATTTTCACGAGCAGTTCACATGCACAACAGAAGTCATTCGGATACCGCGCCAAAAACTACACTGCCATTATCTTAAAAGTCAGCGCCTTTCCACAAAGACAAGTTCAAGGACACCAGTCAAATGACCCATCAATGCCATCCATCAAACAAACACAACCGCATAGCCAAAAAACAAACAACTTCCGCCGCAGCCACCAAATGCGCACAAGGAATCAAGAAACACGGAACAGGGGGCAACAAATTAGTCAGCTGTCGAAAGCAATGCATATGCGAGAAAAACAGGGCTGAAATTGACCCCCCGTGGGTTGGACCCAAGAAGGGGGATGATCACGTCCATGGTGCAGGCAAATGAAATACAGGTGATCCGAAGGACAGAGGAGAGAGAGAGAGAGAGAGAGAGTCAAATGTTTACAGATGAACATACCCATTTGAAACTAGCGACGAGACAAGGGGTGTCCGCATGCTGTGGGAATTCATCAGTGCGGGTGTTTCATCGGATTTGTGGCATCATCTTCGCTCACAACACGAGAGAGAGAGAGAGAGCAAAAAAAACTGGACTTTTGAATAACCTCCTGTTTTTTTTTCCCCTAAACATGTACGATACACATACAACTTTTAAAAGGCCTAATTTCATAAAAAAAAAAATCCGAACTTCAGATTTAGTTCTAAATCTACCCCAAATTTTTTTTTGTCCAAAAAAGAAATTCTCAACTTTTACTCTAATCCCAAATTTACCCTCGTTAACCCTCCGTCCAAAAATCACCACCATTAAGTTTTCTGACATGGCAATTCCACGTCAACACAAAAATCCACGTCAGAAGCTGACGTGGAAAATCCCAGTAAAACGTCGACGTTCCTTCTCTGAATATTGGGGAAAGTTAGGGCTTTGTCTTCGTCTTCTTCAATTCGCAATTGTCATCTTCTTCTTCTTCAATTCGTGCAGAGACGACACATATATGTACTTGCTGAGATGTCTTCTTCTAATTTAGGTTAATTTCCATGATAATTCGAGTTGGTTTATGTTGATTACGATAGTCCTGTATGGGATTAGTGCAAGATTAGTATCAAACCCAAACCTTGTTAATGTGTCATTTCTCCTTTTGCCGAGTGTATACAACTTGCTTGATGATATATCCCCTGAGATACGGTCATGAATTAATTCCTAGAATTGCTCAATCTGAAGATGTTTTGATATAGTTCACATGTCATGAATCGATTGGTTAATTATTAGACATGATTCTTGATGTAATTTCATAGTTGCCGAGCACGACACTGAACTTTCGTTGCTTCTGTTTCTCTGCTCACCATGTCTTCGTGCTTCACGGGTTTCTACGGTGACCGGTGATGGTTGCCGGTGAACGGTGGAGGGTGATTTTCCGGAATAGGAGATGTGGAGGCGTCAATTGAATTCCTCGCTGATAGGATGAATGGTGACTTATAATGGTTAGCGAGGAATGCTTGGATAGAGTTTGCGAAATTTCTTAAGTGATGCCTTGAGTGTGTCCAATGATTCCAAATAACTGAAGTCATAAACTTTAAACCATTCCGCAATGTGTGTTAATTCAGTGAAGAAGCTCATGAATTTTCAAGTGAGCGTTAACAGATGGTTCTCTTCGGAGTGTTTTGAGTGTGCCTCCTTATTCTGAAATCCTTCTACTTGGAAAAACATAAAAAAAAAAAAACGAAAAGAACTTTTAAGCATGGACTCAAGTGACTCTAGTTTCTGTTTGTCTCACATGTAGAGAACACATCGAAGACCTTAAAAGAGAAGGAAAAGGAGCAAAGGTGCCCGAGCCAGAGTCAAGAGTCAACTGCAGCTATGATATGAAGGATGCGGAAAAACCTTTATTGACGTTGGTGTTTTGAGAAAGCATTCTCATATCCATGACATCTTTTAGCAGGGGCTTGACTTAAATGAAGTTGTGTTTTAGATGATGCAGAGCGTCTTGTAGGTGTTTTTTTTAGATCTCCCATTTCCTCTTTTCGATTTATTTGTTTTTAATGTCGGTGAAAGACCTATTGAGTTGTAATCCTTGTTGATCTTGAAATACAAAAGTTACCGTATTAGTTCCTTGTTTTGTATCATCAGCTTTACAATATAAGACCAGACTTTGCATCTCCATCACCTTCCCTGACAATAACTTTTTATACATCTCTAATGCGGATAAAGACCGACAAAGAAGCTTCAAATGAATCCTTGCAGTTTCAAGTTAATTTTATTTTTTTTTTGTGGCAAAACTATCTAGAGAATGCAGATAGACAATTATTTCACCTTTAAGAAGTAATTTTCCTTAAGCACTTAAAACACAAACATAACTTCAAGCTTATTGACTCTTTACCCATTTTCACTGCACATTATTCACGTTTTCTGTACTACCTGGATAGATGCACATTCCTCGGGCCAAAAAGACCGACATAACAGAAAGACAAGACAAAAATACAGAATTCCCCTCCCCATCCCAAATCTTCTACCTTTTCACAAATAGCAGCATCGCATGAAATGAAAAATCCGATGTCAAGACACTGAAAAGAAGGCGCACTAAAACAAAAGGGCCCCCATGCACAGCAGCCTCCTTTGCAAAATTTGCAAACTCTACATAACAAAGCTCCCTCAATTTCTCCTGAACTCAAATCGAACCATCAAAAATGAGGAGCTCCAATTCACCATACCTACAACTAGCAGCAGCAGAAAATCCAATTCACCTTGCCATCGGCGCAGCCGAACCCGCCCACATCCATGCGGTCGTCGCCGTATAACCAGATTATACAATATAAAACCAGACTTTTGCATCTCATCGCCTTCCTTTTTTTTATTTTTTGGGTCACTTCCCTCACCTTCCTTGACAAGACCTTTTTTATATAGCTAACACCACAAATAATGATCTAACCCAGAACCTTCTGCCAATCCCAGCACCACAGCAAAAACACATTGTACATAGCCAAAACAGTGTACATAAACCAAACATTGTGTGCCGGACAAGAGAGACATCCCAACGTAGCAAGCACAACTCAACTAATTGTACATAGCCAAAACATCCCAAATAGAAAGTTACATTACCAAATCCCCAAACCAGACATAGTACACAGCCAAATCCACTTACAAAAACATAAAAAACTAACATTTTTCAGTCTATAACAAAATATCATCATCAAACAACAGGCACTAAACATCCACTAGCATTTCTTGGTCCACAATTTCACAATCCACTACTGTTTCCAAATTGTTGAGTGTATGGAAGTTCTGAGATACCAATTGAAGATTGGCTTGGTGAAACTTGAACATTCATTGCTCTTGTTTGTCTGTTGGAGAAGGATGGACCTTCGATATCACTAACTCTATCACTACTAGGCATCTACAATAAATTAAAAAAAATTAACATGTGAACTTGTTTTTCTTTTCGATTAACATATAAAACATTAGACAAAGATATTACCCTTAAATATGAATTCCTAGTTTCAGACATGAAAAGTCCATATCCTTGTCGAGCCTGAAGATACAAAATGAGCATAAAACATTAATCAAAATATACACAAGTGTTATGAAAATAAAATGTGGCTAAAAAAATACTAACATGTGCTCTCTCCTTCCTGATGATAGCAGAGTTCCCATTAGATGATCTACTGGCATGTGCACTATCCTGCGCACTAGTAGTCTTCTTTGGTCTTCCTCTTTTTGCCTATATGTGGAAAAACACAAGAAACACCAATGTTAACAGTCACGATAGTCCTCAAAAAAATTATTATTAAAGGTTATAAAATTTTCAAATAAAGCTTACTTTGGATGGCCTAGGTACAGTAGGATTCTTGCATGTTTTCTTGTTATGCCCATACTGAATGCAATTTGAACATCGCATTTGGACTCCAGCTTTCATCAATTTCTTATCATCACTACTTCGCTCATCTTTATCCTTGATTCTGTTTTTCTTCTCTCTCCCCCTTTTCCTTCGATAAGGTGGGGGTTTGATTGGCTCACCACGGACTTTGGGCCACATTTGTTGTCCATTCATGGCTGGGAGGGGAAATTGATAACATCTCTCATAACCATCTTTCTTGAAGCAGTCATCAACGTAATCATTGATATCTAATTTCATGAAACTAATGCAACATTTAGTATGTTTACATGGTATTCCAAATATATCCCATTCCCTACAAGCACAAGTCTTCCCAACCAAGTCAACCACAAATCTATTGTCAACTACTTGAACCTCAAATGTATACCCCATTGCCGCTCTAGCAATACAATACCTCGATTCTAGCTTAGTCTTCTCCAACTTCATTCTAATCCTTGGGCAAATTGGATTTGTTCGATCCACCATTAACTGAATTCTCTCCGCCATCCTCTCCATCAATATAGCTCTTATTGCTTCAAGCATCTCAAGTATGGGTTTTGCTCTTGGTATGTAAATGTATCAAGTTATTATCAACCGCATCACACTTAGTACCTGTCTTAATGAAAGCTCTACAGAAGTGCTCTGGGCCTTGCCTCATAAAGTCTTCATAACCGTTAGGGCACTACTCCTTCAAATCTGCCATTGCTAGGTCAAATTCAGCTCTAAATGTACACCTTACAGCCCTCCGGAAGAGATTCTTAAGAGTGACCCCTTTATACAATTTTTTCCAATTAGCATATATATATCTTGCACAATTTTGATGCTTTGCTTGTGGAGATAGGCATGAAACTGCATTTATTAGTCCCTACAACCAAAAAATTAATCGATAAAAAACAATCACATCAATAATTGCATTATTGTAGTGTAACAACCAATAAAGACAAAAGATGAGATATCACCTTTTGTTGATCACTAATAAAAGTCCAACCCTCGCCCGTTCCCACGTTCAAGTCTGTGAATAACAGGGTGAGAAACCAAGTCCAAGATGCCTCGGACTCAACTTCCGCAACTATCCAAGCTATTGAAAACATTTGATTGTTTCCATCTCGTCCTATAGCACACAATAACATACCCTTCAATCCAGTCTTAAGAAAGTACCCATCTAAGTTTATGACACGCCTACATCCTACTAAAAAACCCATTTTCAACTCATCAAAACCCACATAAAATCCCTCAAATACTTTGGTAGCTGGGTTGACTTCTATGTCAAATGTTCCATCCTTGCTAACTCTTTTGAGCTCCGCCAAATAAGATCTTAGCAAGTCATTTTGATCCTCAATCGGGCCCCTTATATCACTAAGAGCTTTTCATATAGCTCTATAACATTTCTTCTTGTCAAGTGCCAGCGCAAACCTTTCTCTTGCATCCGCCTGCATTTCTGCAGCTGAGTAAGTGAGTTTAGCTCTAATCTTAGGCATGTACTCTTGAGCGAGCCAAGTAATGGTGACTTGCCTATTTTTTAGACTTCTATTGCAACTATGAGGATCTCCAACTCTCTTTATGACAAAAGTTTTCTCATTCTGAATCCAACTGCCGTACAACCTCCAACCGCATCCTCTTACACACCTTGCTTCCATTCTTTTATATTCACTCTTTTGCCAAAAAATGTCAAATTCATTAATTACGGCATACCTTCTCACAACATTCTTGAACCGTTCATGAGATTCAAATCTCTTGCCTAGACTAAACACTTCCTCGTTGTGGTCACACATAGGATTATACTTATTAACCATTAGGCCTGATGTGCCATTGGTTTCTTCAAAATCATTGATACCAGGCTCACTTAAAGATTCATTATCAAAATCTGCATCTTCATCAGCTGCCTCATCTTCGTATAAAACTAAATCTCGATCATCATCATCCTCCTCACTTTGTATATTGGTGGAACTTACCACTAAAGCTTGATCATCATCCGCCTCCTCCTCTTCCTCTAGTCTTGCTTCTTTGAATTCTTTCATCATCTCCCTTGTCCTCAACTCTTCATCATCTGATATATTTAGTTCTTTATCACTCTAGTCCAATGACATATCATCACTGTTACTTTCATCCTGTTAAAAATACCGAAAGTCATGAACTAATAACTTAAAACAATATTCAAACATAAAGAGTCAACGATTGAATGAACTCACCATTAATTCTAATTCAACATAGTAATACTTCAATTTTTGACAAGCAAAACTTGCGAGCAAAATGACGTTCAACCTGCAAGTTCAATGTTGAAAACATCACACCGATTGAAGCGAATTGTAAAAGACACAAATCACATCCTAGGAACAATTGACTACCACAACAATCAACCAACATTTTTGTACGATTGAATTCTGTTCAATATCTGAGGATTTTAAGCACATCTTTTGTTATTTCTGCTACTTGAAGTGACGGTGACGACTACGAGGAAACAACAAATCCCATTTATAAAGGTGCTATAACAGACAGCACAGGGAAACAACAAGGGCAAGCCCTAACATATAGCTTCTAACTAGGATCATACACGTAACAAGAATAGCATAAACTGAAAACACTAGATATATGCATGTGTACTTCATCAGAAACGATGGAAGTTAAATTTAGGGCAAACAAGAGCGAAAGAAAAAAAAAAGAACAAATACCTGGTTGTCACGAGAGTTGTTTGTAGTTTCTGCCGCCCACTCCTCCGAGCACGAGCCTGTATAGGAAGAGAGCAAGCGCTTTGGAGCCCACTACTCAATCGTTTCACCGAGGAATCCCTCCTATCTGCGATCAATTCCTTCGAGCGAAACAAATAGAGAGGCTAACCCATGAAGAAGAGGGGGATGAAGAAGCTTGCTGGCTCTGGTTTCATGGCATAGAGAGCGACCCTGACGAAGGGAATGACCGAGTGTTGTCTTTGCGCGAATTGAAGAAGAAGAAGACAATCACGACTTGAAGAAGAAAACAATCGACTTGAAGAAGAAGAAGACAAGCGCTAACTTTCCCAATAAGAGTAGCGTCGACATTTTATTGGAGATTTTCCACGTCAACTTCTGACATGGATTTTTGTGCTGACGTGGAATTGCCCCATCAGAAAATTTAAAGGTGATTTTTTATGGAGGGTTAACGAAAGTAAATTTGGGACTCGAGTGAAAGTTGAGGGTTTTTTTTAGACAAAAAAAAGTTTGGGGCAGATTTCGGATCAAACCTAAAGTTCAAGGTTTTTTATGGAATTAGGCCCAACTTTTAAGGGATAAAAAGCACACACACAAAAAAAAGAGGAGGAAATTTACTTTTTATCCTTAGGTGATGAAAATCTGTCAAAATTTGATAAAAACGACCACTTTAATAAATGCTTCGATCATTGAAACACAAATTATACAGTTTGAAAATCTTGTGGGACTATTGCCGAATGTTGTGAAAATTCAAACTGTTAAATGAATGACATTATGCCATGAAAATTTCTTGGGCCCACTGCTAACTGCTCTAAAAGTTTAAACTGTTGGATGAATGCGTGATTTAATATTTCAATATTCTCGCGCACTTCGCTAGAATAGTTAACCATTAATACATTGAATATTGTAATGTTTTCTTAATTAGTAATTTAACAAGTGGCGTAGGGGTATTTGTTAAAAAATTTCAAATTACATAGATGCTTGATCGGCATTAGAGTAAGGTTGATTAATGGGAAGAGGTTGTTCCCCCAACTATTGTCAAGAGAGAAGCCATTTGCAACCACTTCGAGTTCAAGCCCAAACTTAAAAAGGGAAAATGACACAAATAATTCTTAAATTTTAATTTAATATGCAATGTGGTCCTTGAACTTTTAATTTAGGGTTAATACCACGAAAAACCCAAACTGGTACACCTGTGACAATTTTACCCCGAACTATTTTTTTGACCAAAAAACCCCAAACTGGTACATTTGTGACAAATTTACTCGAAACCCTAAACCGGTACACTTTTGACAATTTTACCCCGAGATAATTTTTTGACTACCAAAAACCCCAAACTGGTACACATGTGACAATTTTATTCCGAACTAATTTTTTGATCACTAAAAACCCAAAACTAATACATTTGTGACAAATTTACCCTCCGTTAGTGTCCGTTAAATTGGATTAATGTCACGAAAAATCACAAATTAATAAACTTATTACAAACAGTGGGGTAAAACCCAAAACTGGTACATCTGTCAATTACCACGTGTCATTAAACTTAACAATTTGACATTAAAATTTAATGGAAACTAATGGAGGGTAAATTTGTCATAGGTGTACCAGTTTGGGGTTTTTTGTGGTAAAAAAATTAGTTCGGAGTAAAATTGTCACAAGTGTACCAATTTAGGATTTTTGGTGATCAAAAAAATAGTTTGGAGTAAAATTGTCATAGGTGTACCAATTTAGGATTTTTTATGATAAAAAAATAGTTCGAGATAAGATTATCACAGATTTACCAGTTTTGGGTTTTTCGGGGTATTAACCCTTTAATTTATTCAATGCGTTATCTTAACTTTGATTCAATATGTAATGTCGTTCCTAAACTTTTAATTTGTTTAATGTAATTCCTAAACTTTGATCAAATATTTAATGTGGTTTTTGAATTTAAACATTTTCATATACTTTAGAGACCACATCAAACATTTACCATCTTAGCCCCTAGTGCATGCTTTGTGCTCGAGCGAGGAATTGCATAGCGATCTCGGTTGCTCTCCAATGGCATGAAGTTGGGATTGTCTTGGCGTTTATCTATTTCGTCGGACACCGATATGATAAGATGCTATCGACTCTCAAATGAATGGACTGAACTAAAAGGACAGAAAAAAGCACAAAACCCAACTAAGGATAAAGCTAAGTTCTTTGGATGAGAGAGAGAGATCACAATAGTGGCAACTTTTCCTTTCTTCATGTAAGCTGGATCTTTTCATGAGAGTGATGAGAAATGTCAAGTGAGAGTACGACCACACTAGAAAGAGAAGGCTAAACCACAGCTACTCTCAAAACATCAAACATCGTCTCCTCTCAAACATGTATTCATTCATGGCTATGTCTCTTTCAAGGTCTCAAGCCTCCGCTTAGCCCTGAGCTCCAAGCCATTGGGACAAATTTAGAACGAACCTGATCGTGTCCTTGTCGATGGCCGGCACAGTCAGGATACACAAAAATGGCATGCTGAAGGGCTTGGCTCGGAATGTGCGAACCACCATGTGATCGACTACAAGGAGATGCCAAAAAGCTTCGGAAGAATCTCGCACTTTAAGTTTTTGTTATAAGAGTTGCGTTAGATGCATAGTTGGTTGTAAGAGAATATTGCACGACTTTACCGAATCTTCACACATGTATCGATCCAATTACTTTTGTGTAAAATTTCCTTTGGGATGATGCTATCACCAAACAAAATTTCCTTGCTGTTATTGACGTCCTAGAAACAGAAAGGAAAGGCTCAACGGAATATAACTCGAATAGAGCTTGATACAAAAGAATAAAGGGGTCCAGAAAAGATCTTGAAAGCTGGATGTTAGTGTAGTACCACAAATCGTGAAGGGCAGATATAGCCAAACGAAGGTACGTGTGGGAGAGGAGGTGATAGTACAAAGTGAAGAGGAGAGATTGTTAATTTCTACTCAAAAGGTTTGTAATTGGACAAGCTTAGATTGATAGGTTACCAGAAAAATCGCCTGTGATGTACAATTTGTATCTCAATAGGCTTAACATTGTACCATACAATACGCTTTGATAGCCCAAAAACGCGTATATTACATGTTTAAGCATTTAAATTAGCACATAGAAATAATGAGCGCACTTTCTTCTTGGAAGAGTACTTTTGGGTTAAAACGCGTTTAACTATTGTCGCTCCTAGGACGATGCATTTTAATTGTGTAAAAGTTTGAATTATATGCTGATCATAGTTGGAAATATGAAGTGTCGCCTTAATCATGAACCATTTGTGTGGAGTTATCTGTGCAAATGGAGCCGCGACAATCTGTAATTAACACCTATCATTAGTCTAACATGTGAAAATAGCTGATTAAGATTGCACTAAATCACCAAAATGCATAGACGCTGCTTAGCAGTCAAACTTCAGAAATAAGAGAAGGTGAAACCCTCGATCAAATCACAGGTTAAAAGCACGTAATACTTCATTGCAACCAAGGTCCATGAGACATAAATCTCACATGTTTGAGATATTGCTTGTAGAATAAAATTTAACTAACTTTTCTGGAACAAATAAAAATCATCTAAGCATTATGGATTGTGTTCGCTAGTATGATGTGCATCTTCTAAAGGCACGTATCGATGATATTTCAATCGGGGAAATCATACCAAATAGGAAAACAAGAAGCCATTTACCATCACAGAAGTGAAGCTTGCAGTCATAATATGTTTATTGCCCGTTGGGAAATGGCATCTTTTTTTGGTAGCGCAAGCTATATATCGCAACCATATAATCTTGAAATGAGATAAAGAAGTCCAAAGGGCTCTTCATCATGTCCGCAAGAACTTCATTTCATGTTGATATAGAGGCGTTATAGTCAATCACAATGTGAAGGACGTCCATTGCGACTTAAGGAATCGAAGTGAGAGAAGTGAGAGAAGAAGCATATGGAGGCTTTGATATACACCTAAAAAATAATTTGGGGGTTTGTTAGTGTTGGTGACACCTATAGCCGTCTGAATCTAATGAACTGCGGCATCAGAAAATGAAAAGCCTCTCTCTCTCTCTCTCTCTCTCTCTCTCTCTCTCTCTCTCTCTCGCCCACCTAAAATTCAGCCAAAATGGTTGTGCAGTCTGTCATGAACTGGAGTAGTAGCAGAACTTAAAAAGATTGCATGAAAAGGCTTAGCCATCAGTCTTTTTCACTAGCATCATCTCTCTCAAACCTTTTTCCTTAAGAGAAAGAATGAAAAAGAACACTCTATTCTCTCAGAATTTTGGGAAGTGCAAGCACTTCGAAGGTCTACGTTCCAGTTCCCTGAGCAAATGCTTGGGATTTGCTCTATAGCGACATAGCAAAAGAGGGAGGCTTTTTCTTCATATTGTGATCCCGAAATTTAAACTTCGGTTTTCAATTCTGAACTTCTAAGTCTCTTCAGAGGGTACACTTACATAAACTCAAGAGTCAAAATCCAGACCGGGGTTGTTTGCATATTTTTGCTATGCTTGAAAATGGAACTGAAGAGTTACAGAGAAGTCTTGGCAATAGCAAACCCAAGAACAGGAGGAAGGGAGGGAGGGAGAGATGGAGAAGAAGATGATGTTGATACAGATGAAAATGGTGCCCAAAACATTCTTCGTTTCACGTGCACATAATTTTGTTTCACTAATGTCATGTCATGTCCAGTACACATCAAAACTCGTCTACAATGAGTATCAAAATCCGTTCGAAGAAAATCCTAAGCAACAAATTACAAACCCAGCTACTGAAGACATCTTTCATTGTTCTACTGATCTTAAATCAAGAAATTATATCTTGCCATGTCGAAATAAGTTTTAATTCAAAGAAGGCACTGAAACAGATGTAATATCTCTCTTTTTCTGAAGCATACTCTTTATTTCAGAGTCAGATTTACTGAAAAATTGACCCTCTGCATAATAGGTTGGGAGTATGGGTAAGAGTAAGCAGAAAATTGGTATATCTCTGAAAAGCTAAAAAACCTGATATGAGCTCGAGAAACCCTAAATCAACTGTTCATATATCACCAAAAGAACAGAAACCAGTGAAAGTGAAAAGCTTAGATCTGCAAAAAAAACTCGGGAGCTGAGTCATAACATAACATGAGATGAGATTCATCAAGTACAGTCGGAGAAGGAAGATGCATATATAAGCAAGTTAACTAACTCCAAAAAAGGGGGCTCACTCATCAAAGCCCTAGAAAACAGATCTCAAAATCATCATCGGACTGCCCCGAGACCCAAAAAAACATTCTTGTGCCTCAAAAACCCATCAACACTGCATAGAAAACTGAAACCCCGTGAGTCCATGACTGAATTTTTATCAAAAATATAGCCAGCAAGAAACAGAAATGACAAAAACCCTTTTTGTTAGCACTAATATCCATCGCAGATCTCAAAAAGAATCCCCCTAAAATAGTTTAATGCAAGTACTAAAGAAGTTTTTACCTTTTTTTCTCCTATCTAGGGTTCTGAATGACCAAAACCCTAGAAAAACTGCCACAAATTCTTCAACTGAGCCATGTGCGACTCTAGGGTTTCTGGAGATGCCAGCAACAGGTGAAGATGCCACATGATCTGATCCATCCTCAAATTATTGAAGTCAAAGAGGCAGGTTGAGATCATGCTGGCAGCTTCAACCGATGGTGGTCTCTCATCATCATCATGGTCTTCATATCTCTCTCTACACAGATTTTTGGCGATGATGCTTTGCTTCTTCCTAATGGAGTCGCAAGGAGGAGTGAAGGGATAAAGGGGTTTATATAGAAAGAGTGGAGTAAGAAATTGGGAGAATAAATCTCCTCCGAGGGCAAATATTATTCAAAAGAGATTTTTATTCCATCCATTGTGAATTTTACAATATTTTATCAAGATTCCATCTAACTAAAATATACAGATTCGTAATATGGATATTGTGAGAGGCAAAATCATGTATAATGGAGGAAATTTGTAGAAACTACATATATGAGTTTTAAAGCACCTTCGTTTCCTTACATGCAATTGGCTCAGTTTTCTAGAATAAGTCTGGACAATTAATTTTCTAACGTTCTACACGAACCTTTTGTCATTCATGAAATGCTAAATAATTAAGTTTCGTGTTAATATATATTCACAAATGAGCTTGAAAACTATTGAAGGCTGGAGGTGAGATGACTGCACATATTTAAAGATAAGACGAGTTGCTTCATATTTATATTTTGGCAGATTTTCGGAGCGTCTTACATGGTCGTGAATTCTCCCCGATAGCTTAAGTAAAGTTAGATAAATAAATAAAAAATCTGTATCAGATGCTAGATGAGAATTGAAATATTGAGTTTGTGAGACATACAATTATAGTGAAATCAATTAACAAGAAAACCCAGTTGAAACAAAGGAAGGAAGGGTGGTCCCCAAGTGAGATGCATATTGAATATTGTCACGCCCAGGACTAATGCAGACAGGTTTGTGGGTGTTCCTATATTTTGTAAGGGCATTAATAACTTTTAGGTTGGGCCTGAAAGGAGAGGGGACCCTTTAGCATGCATGCATCTCTCTGTCTCTCTCTCTCTCTCTAAACATGAGGTAGGGGAGATAGTATAGAAGCTACAAGCATATGATGGGGGACCATTCTTGTCATTTTGATTTTTGTTGGTTTTTGGCATGTTTTCACAGATTCTGCATTATGCTCACAGCTTCTCACAAAAAGAAGAAAGCGTAAGGGCATCTCTACCTAAGATAACAAGTGCCATGCAACATTTCTCTCTCTCTCTCTCTCTCTCTCTCTCTCTCTCTCTCTCTCTCTCTCTCTCTCTCTCTTCACAGGTCCATTTACTTTCATATTCTATTTAAGCCCTCGTTTCTTGGTTCAGTGGAGATGCCTTTTATTGGTAAGTTATATTCTATCAGGAAAAAAAATTTGGGTGCCTTTTGCTTCTTCTGCAATCTGATTGGGGGGGGGTGCCAGCTGCATAGTAAATGCTTACAGAGACATTTGATGAAGACAACCCTAGAAAATGACTGATTGTGTACTTCTCAAAACTGAACATTAATTTTTTGTTGCACTTGCTTGATGTTGATTACACACCAAAGCCAGGTGTGTGATGATGTAAAGAGAAATCCAAGATGCCCTTCGTGAAGAAAGTAAATATATTGTCTCTGTTCTATATGTTCTCTATGTATATGTTGAGAGTAACATCTTATTTTTGAACTTATTAGAATTAATTGGCGTATCATGAGAATTACTGGCTATATGATGTCAATTTTACTTGGACAGCATAGTCTTAAGGTTGAAGAATGTTTCGCATGTTATTTCCATTCTCTTTGAGGTCTTGTATCATTCTTAGGGTTTGTATTGAAAGCGGATTTTTATGTTGAGGGGTGTCTAATCTAATTAAATACATGTAAAGTGATGCTTCAAAGAACCTTCACTAAAAGGTTGAGATATGTCACTCTCCACTACGTACGAGATAATCACATAAAAGGTCACTGAATTTTGGCCCAATGTGCAATATAGTCCCTGAACTTTTAATTTGGTCAACGTGGTCCCTGAACTTTACTCAAATGTGCAATGTGATCTCTAAATTTTTAATTCGTTCAATGTGGTACACATTTACCCTCTGTCAAAATTATGTTAATGAGAATCATTAAAAATCTTCTCACATGGATGCTAGAAAGCAAACGGTGTTGACATGGCACCCCACATGGTTTAAGTGAAATAAGATGATATTATTTTGGCTGAAAAATCATCTAATGGATCCTTGATGGAGGGTAAATGTGTCACATAGGTACAAGTTTGGGGTTTGTTACGTCATAAGAAAATGTTTAAGGTAAATGTGTCATAGTGGGTATAGTTTGAGGTTTTTTATGTTACAAAAAAAGTCTAGAGTAAATGTCACAGTGGCCATAGTTTGGATTTTTTTGTGGCTTTTTCCCTAGTTAATAATAAGGGAAGTTTAGTTTTTAGTGCAAAGGAAAGCAAAAATAACAATTAGATTGATCTTTAGATTTGAGTAAAAAGTAAAAGAAGAATTTATATTCAAATCAACAAATGAAGTCCATACTTTGGTGAAATGGGGTGCGAAGAATCGTATTTACGATATAATGTTGATTTTGATTGCATAATCGTTTGCGACAAAATCAGAATTTGTCACCTTAAATCAAACTTAAGCAATAAGATTCGCATTTTTTCGCCACTAATTCAATTAAAGAGGGAAGAATCTTGAAAATAATGTGACAAATTACGGAGACAAACATAAAATTTTGTCACCTTAGGTCTAACATAAGGCGACAAAGTCATGCTTTTGTTGCCTTGGTTTAAGACTAGATCACAAAATTCAAATCTTATCGCCATTGAGGAGGGAAATCTATACTACATTGACAAAAATAAAAAAAATTTGTCTTGGGATAGACCTAACGTAACAAAATCATATTGTTCGTCTCCTTTGGGTATGACCTAAGGCGACAACAAACCTAAGAATTTGTCACCTTTAGTTTACCCTAAAGCGACAAAAATCTTTTTTTTTTCTTCACCTTTGAGCATGTCTAAGGTGACAAAATTAAGTTTCATCGCCATTGATTGCAATTTAAGGCGACAAGAATAATGTTTTTATCGCAGTTGGTATACCCTAAGGCAACAAAAAATACGTCACCTCTGTCTAAGGCTTTTTTTGCAGTGAATTTCAAATTGGTAAGAGTATATTGTGGATTATTTCTTAAACGTATGTTCTGCAAAAGAAAACACGCGTTACTCATCCAATTATAAACATAAAAGAAAATATTTCTACACAGACGAGGACCTAATAATAATCCCATATGATAGAGAAATAAACAGGTACAATGATTTGATATCTTCAGAAAGTTAGAAGCGAGGGAAATTCCATCACAATGTTTAACTAAATTTCCAAATGAGTGATTTGCACAAAAAGTTTCTACTCATAATGATCCACGGATTAAGTATACTCTAGAATAATCATCTCCATGAATCCATATGGCAAGTCTTTTCCCCGTGCATAGCACGAGTCTATAGGCAATTAGCAATGAAAATATTTGTACAAAATCTCAAGCTTTTGCCGTGGGAGGCGAAGTCATATTACAGATAGTGTCACACCATAAGTCACAGGTCGACCTAGCTAGGGGGAACTTTCAATAAATTATATTGATAAATTTAAGATTGTACTATGTAATTGCAAGCTCTATTCTTGATGAATCCATCATGCATGTGAAATTTCCATCAAGAGATCCTTACGGGGTATGGTTCCATACGATCGCCATATTCACAAAAAAATGGTGCAAAAAAGAAAAAGAAAGAAACAGCGTGGTAATTGAATAAAGCTATCTCATTAACCATGGTACAAACTTTAGCAAAATAATTGAATAATTCTTCCTTTGTTTGGAAGAGTTTATAGCTCAATGATGTATCGAAAGGGCCCACGAGTAGCTTTATTGGGTGCTACACCCAATGGAAATCCGCTACATCTTTTAGTAAGAGAGTTTTGGTAAGATTTTTTTAATATATTTCTAGATTGTAAAGATAATATTATGCTACTTGCGAAGTTATTACGGTAATGACATAAGCTTCATCGTATTCTAGATTAATCGTCCATGCTTATGAAAATTTTATTAAAGATAGTATACTTATTACTCTCATGATCCCGTGCACATGAATCAACATGTTCAAAAAATCTTGAAAAAAGACAAAGTGGTTATTGAACTTATCTTCCAATTTCAATCGATCAACTTTTATAATACCTAAGCCTCACTCTAAAAATGCAAGTCAATTTGGTACAAGTAGGAGCGACGATACCATAGACAAAATTTAGATTAAAGTTCAAACTATAAGACCATGAAATTAAATCTTAGATGCATGATTGTTCCTAGATACAAAGCTATGTCAACAACATAATCAGCACTAACACAAATTTGTTTCTTCCTTGTATCAAGACTATACTTCATAGTCTTTTCATGAAAATAATTATCTTTTAAGAGGACTATCTTGGAGAATGCATGGTTCGTCCATGTATTACATAAATTCAAAATTGGCAAGGCATGGAAGGCCACCTCAAAAGCAACACTATTGACCCTAGAAAAGTGTCCCACCCTAAAACATCATAAGTGGTCCAATTTCTACGCATTTAGACGTGCTCATAATATAATTAGACCCAGAAAAAAAAGGTCCCAAAAGGAAACTGATTTTAGCATATCCTAGGAATTGTCGTAAGATATGGTGCGTACCATGCAAGATATGGCCGAATTCAAATAGGCAAATTCGAATTGAAGGGCCAAAGGAAAAGTTGGAGGAGTTCTTTTATTGATCGCCGTAACGAACTGTAAAGTATGAAGATTTTCAGAAATGTGCTGACACAGAAGCATGGTTGCAATGGAGAATTAAGGAATCTTGGAGTGAATTGGTTGCTTTAAAGCCTACATGGATAGCCATAGATGAGTAGCTATCCTTTACATGGAAGGCATACTTCTTAATTGATTGAGATCGAAAGCATCTTGGTGTTCATGATTCCACCTGCAAAAGGGCGTTCGAATTAGTGTAAAAATCTCGTAGTTCATGGAAGGCATACTTCATGGAACTGCCTTTAGTTTCTAATTAAACAAAACATATAGAGACCAACAAGTTGCCGAGGATAAAGTATACCGGTTTCGGTTTGTAGGGTGGAAATTTTTGACACGGCATAAGAGCGCGACTCAAACATGAAGCAAACGAAAAACCTAAACTCAACATGATAAACTTAAAACTGACATGAATTAACACGTTTTCGTCAATGTTTGCTAAGGGAAAAAAGAACTCCTCACAATCCCATTGAAGCTTTTTGACAAGGACACAAATATAACTTATGTGATGTGATTTGATGACACGACACGAAATGCCAACATCCTTTAATAATTGTTTTGGTTCCCTCTTATTGCACGACTCAAACATGAAACAAATTTATTGAGAAGAACCTAAATTCAACATGATAAACTCGAAATTGACATGAATCGACACGTTTTCATCATTGATTGATAAGAAAAAAGCTCCTTAGAATTCTATGGAAACACTTTGACAAGGACACAAATATAACCGATGCGATATAACGACAAGACACGAAAATGCCGGCACCCTTTAATGATTGTTTCGGTTCCCTCTTACTGCACTAGTAGGTGCTCTTAGGCTAGTAGAAACTGTTTCCTTGGTGTACTCAAATGCTTTTAAGCTGTCAAATGTGGATATTAAATGCTTATCACCCAGTAACCCTCTCTTTCTTGTAAGTTGAACCTTACACATAAAGCATTTAACCACATGGAACAAAAAACCCTTAGAACAAGAACAGCAATAAACAGGAGTGACAGCCTCACAGGCAGAACAACAAGAGTGTACCACCGTAACCACACCATATTGCTCAACTTTTAGCAAATTTGATTCCTCGAGAGTAAACCCTTTTGGCTTTAGCATGATAGTGATCACATGAGAGCTTCAATAATAGTGCCAAAAGAAGTAAAGAAGCCACATTATGTCTTCAACCCTTGTTCCTAGTGCGAACCCTATCTTGTCGAGATTTGCCTCAGACCTACTAAAAGCTCTGGTCCTTTTGCAGGATGACAGAGTTTAAAGGGAAGTCAAGTGTTAAAGAGATCTAGGGTGGCCCATTGCATATTCTCTCTGCAAGTTTTGCATATGAAAAGATTTTTTTGCAGTTTGAGCCGTGAACTGGACAGATATTTGAAACCCCACCTTCTTCTTCCTCCGTGTGAAAAAGCTATTCCGTGTGTTTCTCTAGAGCCCCAGTGCAGTCCATGAGATGTTGGTTAGATCGAGACAAAAAGGCTCCATGTCTTGCCAATTTGCAGAGGGAAGAAATCTTCCATCACATGGATAAGTGATCCGCTACGTAACGCTATCTCTTCCGAAGATACATTAATTTTGTTCATTGATGCCGGTGATATGCACTTAGTTATATTCTTGAAAGATAATCATTCGTGCATTTTCAAATGTTTAAAAGAATTAACTAGAGATATGCATTGGCACTCAAAAATGACCGAAACTCAAAATTGAGACATCTTTTAACAATCCCCTTCTTACCTCGACGTTTGAGCCGAGTTTCAATCATTTTATAGAATCTGATCTTCACTGTTACTCTACCACAGCCCCTCGTGGCTCAATTGCCACGGAGATTCTCCAAAGAAAAACCTTTTCAAATGAGAGGCGCTAAGATCGGACTCTATGTATTATGCATTTGAGATTAAATTATGCCATAAAAAATTTCAATAGCACAAATAATTAAATTTTAACACCGCTTGTTGAAGTTTGGGGTTTTTACCGTACTGACGGTGGATAGAAATCAAATGGTAGGTACCGAAATTAGAGGATAAAAGTATAAATTTTTACCCTCAAAAATGCAAAAATCTGCTAATTTGAAAGTGAAAAGGTACAGAAGTTTAGGTATAAAAGTGCTTATTTTAATAATACGAGTGCATTTATAAAAGTTCTTACTTTTAGTGAATGATTTTAGTCTCCACTTGAAATCTTTTACTCGTCTTTAAAATAGACAGTCCGCATATTTTCAACCATAGAAAAGTATTATTCAAGATTTTAGAAATTTACTTTGCATTTTGAATGATTGACATTAAAAAAGAAAAAGTGGAGTGGTGAAAAAATTACATAGTACATACTACCCAAAATAACTTTAATAAAATGAAATTTGCTAGCAATTATGGTGAATTTTTCAACACTCACCACCATACAAAAAAGAAATTACCAAAATTTAAAAAACACAATTGCTAGATAAGCCTTAGTCTGGGCCATACGGGTCGGGCCGGTCATTTTTTATGATATGTGAAATCCACTCGGTTACTCAAGGTGCGGCATCATCATATGTAGTCCTCTTTTAAGTGTTTTGGTCCAAAATGTACGAGAAGGAAAGGAGAATCGTCGAGGATGGCGTTTACTTTACTGTCGAAAAGAGTTCATCCTCGACACAATGTGCGTACTTCATAGGGGTGAGCACCGGTCCTGAAAAGATCCCGGGGCTAGAACACAATCGGACCAACCCTACCCGGCCAGTTCTGGTCCAATTCCAAAATCTACAAGGTAGGTTCCAAAAACGCCGATTCGATAGGGTTGGAACGTACTTCTAATACTTCTTGTACCACCAGGAGGAGGATAATTGTCAAAAAAGTCCTACCTATTGTACAGCGGCCAATTTAATTATAAACCTTTCAATTATACTACGGTGGCCAATTCAGTCGTAAACGTTTCAATTTTGTCAATTTAGTCATAAACATTTTGACGACTTACCAATTTAGTTCTAAACCTTTTTGCGATTTGCCAATGTAGTCCTTTCGGGTAATTTTTGCCTAAAATCACTAAGGGACTATATTGGTAAATCGTCAAAAGGTTTTAGACTAAATTGACAAATCGTCAAAATATTTAGGACTAAATTGACACGATTAAAAGATCTAGGACTAAATTGGCCTTTGTACACAGGTTTAGAACTAAATCGACGCAATTGAAAGGTTTGAAACTGAATTGGCTGTCGAACAATAAGTTTAAGACTTTTTGGATAATTTTCCCGTCATGAGGCACTCAGCCCAATGGAAATTAGTACAATGGCGTAACGTTTAGAATTTCCCAAGAAGTACCGGCTGATGTGCTGATGCAGTAATTAGTATTCGAAGCCTTCCACGTAAATAACAGGGCATTGTACAGTTTGGCATAAAACCAGGTGAATGGCGAAAAGTTTCCCTAAGATACTTTGATCATCTTTTGTTCAGTTCGTTTGCACACAAGGAGTTGCTCTTGGTGACACTAGTTACTGTATATATTGGACTGAGTTACAGCTGAAGAGTCACATTGTGAGATAAAATAATACATCGTATCATAGCTAATATTATGCGGATTCTGATCATGTTAGTTTCCCCCTCCCACCAATCTTTGTTCTGAGGAATTGTTTCAGCACCACCAACTACCAAAATAGCGGCTTCAGATGGAGAATCTCCATTGAATGGGGTAGGTAAAATCCAAGGGAAGATTCACTCGTGACGGACACTCTTGATCATGAGAACCGCTCGTATCAAAAGCACTTTTTAAGCTGAATTTAACTCATACCTAGGAAAAATGACACAACAAGTGACAACTTTTGAGTATCATTACCTTTTAATCGATCACTTGAATGCTATAACTTTCATACAACGTTCACTTGAGTGCAATAATTTTTCAATCGATAACTTGAGCAATATAATTCCGGCACTCTATGGTGAACATCTTTTAAAAAAAATATGACATTCAAGTGATCGATTGAATGTTATGGCACTCGAATAAATATATTTTGAAAGTCATTGCACTAGAGTGATTGATTGAAAAATTATGGCGCTCAAGTGAACCCATACAAAAGAAATGACACCTCTGGTCCTATCCCCCAAGTTGCCTTCCTTGACATTCTCTCCTTTTTAAGTTAGTTCAAGGCTATAGAAAGATTCGTGGTTAAAAAAGCAAGAAAATAGCCTTCCCAGGAGAAACAGAAGGGATATCATCATATTTCTCCCGTGGAAAATTATACAAAGAATTAGGATTCAAGCGTCCTTGCTTATTCATTACATAAGGTATATATCTCTCTCGTTCACGACCTACGGAAGCTCGGCTCTACAGTATCTCAGACATATGAACAGAAAAGAATGACAAGAATACAGGTTACTATTTTCTGTATGTACACATTCTATGTATATAGATTAAAGGACCTGTGCGGATCAGCAGTGGCTTTAGTTTGTACTTGTAGGGAATCTGCTAGGGTTCGAGATCGATCACATTCACCTTCAGCTCCCCAACTTGAGGCTTGTTAGCATCTTCCGCGTTGCTTTCTCTCGGCAGCTAAAGTCGAAAGCATCAGCAGCAAAGAAAGATGTCAGCTGCAGGAAATTAGACTGTAAAGAAGAAATAAGAAACCAAACGTATGAAAAATCTCCTGGTGCGATACTACTACCGATTCCACGACATTGACCTGAAAAATCCCATCCTAGAAAGAGAGAAAGGCAAAATCTAATCGCCCTCCATACATTTATGTGGAACAATAAAAGATAATGGAGTTGGAACACCTATTGACATCTCAAAATAGAAACAAGCATCAAGTCAGCTTCTGCAAATGCAAATGTCAGCAGGCAGAGAACATGGAAACGCACATTCGCTTCCTAGCTAGCTACAATGTCTATTTTTCGGTGGAGCCTTGTTCGAACCAAGTATAATCTTATATAATCCCTATATATTTTAAGCACATTATGCCCCTGCTTGAACTACCAAAGAACGCATGTAAGAAAAGATGATAATAACAGACAAGTGATAAATGATTGTCAGCGTCCGTCCACCCTAGGAAAGAAGAATGGTAACCAGTCAAAAGAAAGGACAAATCCCTCTAAGTATTTGCGATGCCCAAAAAATTTATAGCCACAATAACTCACACGACAACATTGTTTTTTTTTTTTTTTGATAACCGAGGTGTCTGCGCGGCCGGCGAGCTAGGGCTCAAACCAGCGGTGATGCCCGACTAGTCCTCGAGGGGGGCTAGCGCAGCATCCCACCGCCACGACCAAAAATTCAATGCGTTCATCATAGGTATCTTATCGCCAAACTAATGTCACATTTACCTTTTCACACATTGAGAAACCAAAGGTGAGACTCAGGTCACCAATCAAAATCAACTTCCGTAAAAAATTTCCCAAAATATCAAATACTTACTTCTCCAGAGAGATCCACTGGAAACAAAGTGATTGCACTGGGATCAAAACTGAATCCACTGACAAAAGAAAAATCAGCACGATATTAGCAACCGGCCATAACTGGAAGATGAAGAACATTATCAAACAGTGAGATGAATATCAAAGAGATAAAACTGAAAAATCAGCATAATTGACTAAACATTTTCTATACACGATTTACAACATGCAGGCAACCAGAATCAGCAGTCTATCCAAAGCAACAGCACATAGTGTGTTATTACCAGCGAGGTAGAACTAGCCGCCACACATACGGAATGAAAAACTCCTCAGATTGACTTTCTTGCTCATATGTGAAGCGTAATTGGGTGAACATCTGTCAAATAATATCTCTTGCATCAAATGACATTGATAGGAATCTCTATGTACACTACATGGCATCCAAAATCACAATAACAAACTTGGAAATGGCACGTTATACCTTCATCCCTTCACCACGCCAAGATCGACAATTATTAATAATTACTTGAAGAACTTTCTCCACTGACCATTCACCATCCACTCTCTGCGCATCCATACGGCTATTGAAAAAATCTAATACCTGAAAATCCATTGTACATTTCACGTGTTATTAAGACAGAAAATTCATACTGAAAGCATGAAAATCATTGCACTAAAGTCGCTAGCTAGGGATGCTCTGAAGCATACTGTGTAAATATTTTCGAGAAGCTCATTAAACCGGGGATGATTCTTAAATGGCTGAAAGACTTCCTGCCTGTGCATTATGGCATATACAACCTGCCAATGACAAGTGACCGACAGTTACAAGTCATAAATTAGAAAAAAGGTATAAAGGGTAAGGTGCAGCATCATATAAAAAATAATGCTATTGGCCTTACCTCAGGATTCCGAGGCAGTGCATACGTCAAAATCTCATTTAAGATTTCAAGGACAATCCTTAAAAAGTCAGTATAAATATAGAACTCCGTTGACTGCAACTACAGCCAACTCATGTTAGTAGTAGGGATATAAGAGAAAGGGAACGATCAAAAGGCACCAGAGAGTATATTAACATATAAATCAGAAACAATCTGTAACTACTGCAACTGTACCATGTCTTCAGCAAGGCCTTCCTCTTCTTGCAAGTTGCCTTTATTTGTGAGAATCTTCCCATCTCGTTGTTCTGCCAATTTATTATACCTATATCAAGCAAAACAATGCAAGTATAAATCTTGATACAATCAATGATCTAGAAGTGGAAACTTTAGACCATAACAAGAACAATGGAACAGGTAACTGTACTTTCTTGAGAGCATATCAAAAAGGCTGATCAGACGCTCCGATGCATATGCACTCAATCGATGACAATGAGGAGCCATGTTTGCCAATGTAGCTAGGCAGTTTGTATGCAAATAAACATCCTGCAACCAACTTGCATGGTAAATGTACTGGTCCAAAATATCTATAAGAGTTGCCATCTTCAAGAGACTAACCATGGTACAACAAAATAATAGACATACATATACATGATTGCTATTAAGCAGGTTCATTCAGTAGGCAACATGGTTGCAGAATGGAATTTTCAGGAAACACTTGCAACGAGTCCCTCCAGGAAGGTCAAACCATATCTGTTCCAATTTCATATACACTGTTTTGAAATAAAGCTTCGCCATGGGCAAGACACTTATGAAGATCGACGGGTGATACACTTGTACTATACATATATTAGGATTTTCAAGAAAAATTATCATGAGAAGAAAGCCCACCCCCTATGGTCATCATGATAATTTACCATAAGATGATTGCAAAAACAAATCGCTGAACCTTCCTTATGAATCATTTAAAATTTAGGTCAAGATAGTTCACTAGCTGTTCAATATAACCTGTGGATACAATACGCTTCAGAAAGATAAACAGCGTTCATTACAACAAAAGCTGATCCATTGATAGTCATACCCGCAGCTTTGATAGATTGTACTTTACTGTCCTTATGAGAATAATGACCATTAAGGAACCAAGAGATGTCTGATGAAGGCGGCGTTCCTGGTACCATGAAACACTTGGCAGTATCTGTCCAGGAAAATTGTAATCACATAAACAACAGGATCAAATAAGCTGATTCTTAGACAATAAAGGCACAACTTACCAGTTTGTGAATGCTGGCATTAAAAGAAGAGTCCTGACTGAGTATGAGGAGTATGATCAGAAGCATGTAGATATGATTGGAGCTCCTCCTTGAAGCATTATATAATGTCTCCAGGATGGGCATCAACTGTTATTCCATAACGGTCCATTAAACATAAAAGACAGCTGCAGCTCTCATACATCCAAAGAAAATATAATATGCCAAATTATATGCTCATATAGGTCTTTGAACATTTCTAATCTCTAGGCAGACTTCCAAAAGCGTGTGCACTATAATATCACCAAATCAGAATGCTTTTCAAGAACACAACTACCTAAATCCTGATACACATAACACATTGCACTATTTTCAAAAGAATCTTCCATGCTACTTATAATGTCCTCTAATACACAAAAATAACATCATTCTTCCAAGGATCATCGAACTACTATTCTTACCAGTGTATCAATATCCGTTCGCACCAAAACATATTCCAGAAAGCCGGAATTCCCTTGAACCAGTGAGTATAGCAAGAGAACAGCAGTCTCATCAGCCAAGCACCTGCAAAGGCCCCAAAAAAGGTTCCCCTAAGATACTAGAAGGAAAATGACAGGCATGTGGATTTTTTTTCTTAATTTTGATTTTTCATTGGAGGGGAGTCGGGGCAAAGAGATACGGAGAACCTAGAATTTTAAGATTTATCCCACACAAACAAACTAACAGAAAGCCACCTGAGTATATTGCTTTTCAAATTCAGAACAACCTTATGGACTACTCTAATCAAGAAACAAGACCAATACAATGGAACTTCAAAGTTAGTGAGACAGAAGTAACCGCAAAAGGTAAAGATTTTACATACCAAAAGAAGATAAAACTGGTAGTCAACTTCAGGGGACCAGTGCCATTACCTCTCCTTAAATCTTCCTTAACTATGAGATTATCTTCACACTTCAACCCCATAAGAGCAGAAGCTATTTGATTGCAGTACTACCCATATTTTTTTAACATAAATTCATCAGGTCCTGTTTGCATCATTGACTCAGAGATTACAATAACGTTAATTAAACAACCAACCACTCCCCCAGGCCCCCAAAATAAAAGTAAATAAAATAAAAACACCATGGGATCCAAACCATGATGATCAACATAGGTATTTCAATTTTCGCTCCAGCACGGAAAAGCACCAATCTAGAACAATTTATCATCATAAGTGAAACCTAACTTATTGTGTTTCTAAAGAAGATCTGACAGAAGGACATGCTGCCAAAATCTTGAACTTAGAGCTGAAATAACAACTGATACATATTGAAGAAATGCAAATCACAATACAGCTCTTAACCCTCATCTATTACGAGTACCCATCAAGTGAAAAGAATGACAGTATCTTCACGGGATCAAGATGCCAGAACTCATCGCGCAATTTGATCTACTCTCAAACTAGGTTGATCATGTTGGGAACAGAAGCGGCTCAACATTTTTTTTGACTAAACAAAGCATCTAGTCGCACGAAACAAATTCAATCAGTATACTTCAGAATAACTAGCCAGCTCTACTTCCTAAAAAATAAAAACTCCCAGCCTGATAATGGGTTTAAATATTGCCGCAGAGCCAGGCTTCTAAGAATAAGGGCATCCATCTAATGCACAAGGGTGAAATTATGTGTAAGAAGGAAGAATATCAATTTACTCACATCCCAAGAGTGTCAAACAGAGAAGCAAATGGAATCCTCACGAGCGGACCATTGAATGCATTTCCCTCGACATCCACTGAGCGGTCAACTGCAAGCAAAGGTTTACTTCACCACCAACATAGATACATAACCAGCATAAAAGTACAAAAGGGGAGTACAATTACATTCCACATCTCTTGCATTTTCTAAGGCCTTGCAATAAGGGTTGTCGCATAAATACGTATTTTCCTTTGACAGAGTATCAGTCGTGGCACTGTCATCACTTCTGTCTGTTACGGACTCGTCAACCAGAAGGCATTTACGGTAATGGATGAGAACAAGGAGCACAAGGAGACTACATTCTGCCAAAGGGCTTCTTGGTACCTCATCCCTTGAAGGGACCAAATAGCTAAATGGAAACAGGACAATGTTTGCTGCAAATTGAGAATAAATGACCCATTAACTGGTTCTCACTTGTATAATAGGAAGAAAATCACCTTCACAAAAATAATATTGCAGAAATCGCAAACAACCTGACTTTCACAAAATTATGTGATGGAGACATAATTCAACGCTAGAAGTTTTAGCTCAAATAAGCGGTGCCCTCTTTGATTGTTTTCCACTCCCAAAGCAGAGTCAACAAGGGCAGATATACCCGGACGCTTGGCACCATGAAGTTTAAGTAAATGTTATGCTCAACCAGCTGAGGCAAAACTTTCCTCCACAAACGGTTTTTTTAGACATACAGTAACATATCAGACACCTAGAGTGTAAGTTGCGTTGACAATATCAAACAAAACTTACGGTCTACAATCCAAGTGGAAGCATATAAAGAAATTTTGATAGACAAGTTCATGGTGGGATCAACCCGTGCACACTCTATTTAGCATATCCAATCTATCCGCCTGTTTACCACTGTCAATTAGGTTGCTTGTGCACTTTCTAGGATACTATACACTGTCCAATCCGTCTGCCTGTTTACCACTCTCCTCCTTTCTTAGATTTGGAGTAGTCCAATCTTCTATAGAAATAGGTACAAAAAGGCACTGCCGAATGGTGCCCTAGTCCCCTAGCTACATGAATATATCACACGGTCTCTGCAGCGACTGCTTAAAATAATTGGCATATAATGATCATAAATCATAAAAGAGGAAATTAAAATCATGAAATTAAAAGGATATTGTAATAGTTAGAGCACAATGGTGCAAAAGCAACCCAAATACTAACATCATTTGGTGGAAAAATGCCTACTTCTTCTTGTATTATGGCCACAAATCACATTAATTACCCACAAACTAATTATCTCATGCTGTTAGAATAATTAAATATTAAACCACGTCTTCGTCTAATAGCTTAAGCTTTTAGAACAGTGGGCAGTGGTCCAACAAAATCTCACACATGCACATGCATGGTTCTTTTCTAATGACAAGGAAGCCCACCTAAGTAGGCAAGCGCTAGGATCATGAACATGTGTGGTTCTTCTTGAAGCTTAAAATATGCTAAGTTATTAAGTACATTAATAAAAAAGATGCATTCTAGCAAAATTAAAAAAACATGACCAGACTAGCAAGAATAGAGCCAACCAAGGGGGCACACTTGTTTAAAAGAGAAAATTAGCTACTTAAAAGAGAAAATGTTAAAACACACCTCATAGAATGAAAATTATGCAAACAAATAAGCACTTTAATGAGCATATGAGGCATGTGAATAAAACAAAGATTAAATCCATGAATTAGCATGGCCAAACAACTATACCAGCTGCAGAGCCAACCCTCTGAAGAACGCCAGCCTGGCTATCATCAGATGTTGGATAAGATGCTCCACCAAAGGGAACACGTGGCCATATCATGTAGTTGAGTAGCAGTCTTTGGACCACCAATGAAACTAAAGATTTTTCCTGCAAATTGAGAAATGAATATGTATGTAATATGAAGAATGCAGACAATTGACCTATGCAATATTTACTAACCTGAGCCATTGCTGCGTCAATGAATGGGTTTGCATCTTTTGGTCCTGGAGACGGTCCGGCAAGAAGTTGAGTTGACATTGCAGCCAGCATGAACCTTAGCAGCTCCTGGTGTAAGAGGTATGTGCTGGGACTGGGACATAAATACAGAGTAAGACGACGGTGACGACAAGAAAAAAAAAAAAGCAGCAGCAGCAGCAGTGGCCAAAAAAGATGTAAATGATTACAGTTTGCACATGCATTGTCTCCAGCAGTCAGAACATACCTTACATCCACTGAGCCAATGAAACTGAGCACACTATGCATGACAAGACTTTCTATGTTTTGATCTGCAAAGAGCCAAGATAGTTCATTCACTTCTCTAACGATTGTAAAGCAGCAACCAAAATCACCACTGCCAACCACCCAGCAAAGATAGTCAAGTAAGTAGGCCTTGGGACAACTTGAATTACATCTGGATTTACACAAAGATTAGCCCCCTGTTCTGGACTGGTAGAATGTGAACTTAAAAGGAATTATTCACCAAGTCAGATTCCTTTGAATTTGGAGGTTCCCAATAACCCAAACATCATATGCAGACATTTCAAAAGAGATGTACAACAAGCACCACTCATCTAAAATCCAACCTCAAAGAAACTCCAGAGAAGCACTTAACTAAGCTTAGAAGAGGATTAGACAATTTAAAACATTCATAAAAGCCCTTAGTAGACTATGCATACAAGACCGAACATAGAACTATCAGTTCCAGAGAATCCATTATACAGGAAGAAAAGTCATATGAGCTCAGAATTTATACCTCTGGTAAATTGCAATGGAATAGGTTCACTTTCATCAAGTGATAGACAAAGCTCCTCAAGATTGTCACTTTTAGCATTTTCAATCAAGTGTTTCAAGAAAACTGATGAAATGAACAGCACATTGGTGGCCTTTAGAGAAACTGAGGACGTTATTCCAGAAGTGGATGTACGCTCTTGCAAACACCATGCCAGATGAATCAAAATCTTCGCCAGATGCCTGGTATAGCAATTGTTTTGCGCTGCACAAATAAAGAAAACAGGAAGAAAGCACAATGTATAGAGTCAAATACCGAAACTTATGGGGAAAAGAACCTGCCTTTGACAACATTTAAGAAGTAGAACTTGGAATGAGAAGCAAGAGCACGGCATAGGCGAAACTGTACCAGGTGCCACATTACCGCGACTTCAAGTATTGAGACATAAAAAAAACGGTTATACATGTACTCGCAAGCTCCTTTCGCGCCACACGTCGCGGTTGCTTTCTTCCTTAACTACTTCTTTGTCATCTCTAGGGGAAAACATCCGATGAAGTTTACTAACGGATAATTTCAGAACAGAGATCCACGACGAAGTGAATTGCTAAAATATTCATGCCCATGAAGCTAGAGGCATCCACGAATCATGTAATTCCATTCGCCAAATCCATAGTCGGCGGAAGACTCTTATCATCACAAATTAGCACGACAACAGTGTGTGGATTTCACAGATTGCAAGAAATCTAGATACCGAGAATCGTGCACGGAATCGACAATTCAAAACCGGGCAACACTTAATTACCTAAAGCCACCGCAAGAACTGAATCGTCGTTCGTTAAACGAAAAACAAAAAATCGCAGCGAACACCACATAATCCGCAAATCAAGCAACTCGAACGACCATTCCACGAATCAGCGTACGGCGCCACTCACCCAAGAGCTCGCAAGCTTGATTGACGCGCTGAGCAGGCCACCTGAGATCGAGCGGGAGCTCCAGAAGCTTCTGCCAGAAGTCGGAGCCCAGCGGGAACGACTTCTCGCCGACGAGCGTCCCGATCAGGTACTCCGCCGTCTCCCGCGGCGGCCGGGCTGTGGCGGCGCCGCTCCGCGGCGTCGAGGGGACAGCTCCCATTTGCTGCCGGAGGGGGAGGAGGAGGGGGAGGATGGGGGGGAGGGGCGTCGCGTCGTCGGGCGGGGTCAACTCCGATCAGGGGGCCGGGCTCGACCGGCTGTGGCGCGGCGGCGGCGGCGGCGGCGGCATTGCGGGGGCGGGATCTGCGCGGGGGAATGCTGCCGGGGGGTGGCGGAAGGGAAATCGGGGGGGGATTGGGGGGCTTTTGGAGTGCGAAAGTGGAGAGAGAGAGAGAGAGAGAGAGAGAGAGAGGGAGCTTAGAGATGAAGGTTTCAAGGAGTCCAGCAGAGAGAGAGAGAGAGAGAGAGAGGGAGGGAGGGCGACAAATGTGTCCGTTGAAGCGTCGTTTTTGCTCGTTTCCCTTTCGGACGGAATTGCCCCTCTGGATTTGCCCCCTCCGTTTTTTTTGTTTCACTCGTCATTTTTTTCCTTGCACCGAACGATCTCTTCGCTTTGGGACGACGCGCAACGCGGTCCTTAGGTCTCGGCCCGATGTGTAATATCATTCGTTAACTTTTAATTTATTCAGCACGATCTCTCGGGCTTTTGGTACTTATTTAATTTGGCTCCCGGACCCGTTACTTCAATTTGCTGGCAGGATTTCGGACCAAAAAAAAATATGATGGAAGGGACAACATTGAACATCTTAATACAGTTCGAGGACTGAATTGAACATGCACCGAAAAGTTCATGGACCATATTGAACAAATTAAAAGTTCAGGGGCGACGTTGCACATTGTCTTAAAGTTTGGGGACCACATTGAATAGATTTAAAATTGAGGGACCACGTTACACATTTAACAAAAGTTCATGAACCGTTTATATCATTATTCCTGTGTATTTTTTTTTTCTTTCTCTTTTTTTTTCATTTTTTTAGCTTGGAATTTTTATGTTTTGATAGGACGGTTTGTACTTTTTTTTTTTGTTTGTTCGTTTTTGTTTTCTGGCAAGAGGATGGATTGCGATATGTTTGTTCTTTAATCATCCTATTCATTCGTCTGCAAGCAAAAAGTTATGAGTTCGTCCTTGATCATACCAATCATCGTATACGTTTATAATTTCGCTTTTATGTACTAAGCTGAGAAACGAGACGGTATTGAAGCACCTCTTTTCAATCGAGAGTATAGGCAATGAATGTAGCTTTTTCGTAGTGTACCAAAAGAACGAGACGCTTAATAAAAGTGCCCACGACATGCCTATCTGTTGCGACACAATGTCGGTGCGTAAAGATGCTCCAGTCGAGAGAAAACGGACCTAATACGGGTGATTCGTACACAAGGAAGAAATTCGTAAAAAGGAGTACCACATCGGAACCCATGAGCCGTGAGTAATGGGGATCTGTTAATATATCAAAAGTCTAACTGAATAAGTCAATCGGTTCGGACCTCAGACTTTATCTCAGCGATCTCTTCAAAGAAAGGTATCGAATTTCTAACGCGTCGATCCATCACTCTTCGATGTCGAAGGTTACTAAAAACCGTCAAATTGTTCAATTGGCAGATGCTGACTTGGTCAAAATTGGACGTGTTGCCCGGGTTGGGAGAAACTATGGGGACTTAGTTGGGTTGAGCCTTGAAAAATCCACTAAATGGCAACATCCGGTGGCACTTGGTTGGAATTCGGCAACAAAACATTAATGACTATGAAGGAAACAGAAATAAGTTCACATGAAACCACATGTTTTGAAATTAAGCTGGTGCCAATATTGAAGTAGGGAAAATTATCGAAGATATCGTAAACTTATTATACGGATATCAATCAATGATAAATCTATCAATTTGATTAATTTAGTTTTAAATCTTTTGACGATTTGCCAATGTAGTCTTTTTGGCCAATTTTGACCGGAAATCGCTGATGTGGACACCCGCCGTCCTATGTGGCCACAAAGACTACAATGGCAAATCGTTATTAGGACTACATTGGTCAAATTTATAAATTTAGGACCGATTAGGCATCCGTACGATAGATTTAAGACTTTTATGGTAAATATCGCCGGGGGAGTGCAATCCGCAATTGGTATCTAATCAAAACTTTTACCGTGGCAGAGATAAGGCTTGAAACCCTAATTGTTCTTGTCAGTCGGGTTCCGAGCCCAAATCGACACCGCGTTTTAGGTGCCGAATGTTAATCACCATAGAACTAGAGTTTCCAATTGCCATTTTATGCGTGATTAGGGTTGTGAAATATTAATCCAGGCGATGGTCCCGAATGAGGCTATTGGATAAGAACTTGTAGCGGCGATTTCATAACCCTAGTTGTTGCCGAACATGATTTTTTTAACTCCGAGACGTAAATGAGAAGGTCAAGTGAATATCGACCCTCCAAGAAAATCACCAAGAGATATTCGGCTTTTCCAAGAGTTCGAATACAATGCGAAACTTTGGAAAGGTTCCAAGAGAATTTGATGTTCAAGTTCGACATCCTCAACCTCGTGATCTTAATTCCAACATCTAAGCCAAACCCGAAATGAATCAAGCTGAGCTCGACCCGTTATATGGGTATCATCCCGCCGTGCACCAGTCTTCTCTCTACTCTTTCGGCTTTAGATACAATCTCAATTCTCTGTCTTCCTCTCAATCGATAACTTTAGGTAAAACCTCATGGAGTGCTTCTGCAATGTATTATGCGAATCACAGCGCTAGACCCATCACTGTCGGCACTGAAATTGAAAACATCAAGTGGTCTAAAACCCTCACCGACACTTCATGTGTCAGCATGACAATCTTGCCCATAGCTTCTTCAATGTCCACTTTATGTGTATGGAGAAAAAGTCAGATTAGTGCTTATCTGCTGGCTTCTTGACGACTTCAAGTCGTCGCTAATGTTGAGTTAATCACCATCCAGAAATTGACTCAACTGCGATTGATTACCATTACCATAATATTGCGTTAGGCGCTAGTTTCGTGCGTTCAAGTCAGTTGCTTCGGCTCTCGCCAATCGAATGAGGTCAAAGCCCGATTTCTAAAGCAAACCCACCTTTTCTTCGACTCAAAGAAAATCTCTCTACTTCCATGAGTGTGTGACATTCTTCAATTGCATCCTGATTTAATCAGTCAATAATCATTCACTCGCTGTGGATATGATGTGTTCCTTATTTCTCCCTTCAAATTGGGGAAAAAATTCGAAAACACGCCGGTGCACGTGAGCCCGTCGAGGGAGGAGCGGTCCTCGTCGGATCATATGGATTCGAGGGATAGATCGAGTCGAGCCGAGCCATCGCCTCGGTCCTCTGGTCACTTGAAAATCGGGGCAAATCCTTCCATTGTGTCCTTTATAAGCGAGCTCGGAATGATTTCGTCCGTCACATACAATGTCAACATTTTAGTGGTCTTTTTGTGTTGAAATTTCTCCAATCATATGAAGCTTGGTGTTTGGATATAAAGCTATAATTTGAATGAGTTCTACTTCATTGTATTAAGCTTAATTATGTCTTGGTAGCCAGGGCTAGTTTGTGTGGAAATTTCTCGTTTATGTTAGCTGCTACAGCTTGATTTTGTTTGCAATAGTTTCAATGGGCTTGTAAATTGCAATGGAGTGTTTTTTGGACTTGTATTGGACTTTGATGGGCTTGTATTGGGTTTAGTCCACCCATTTCCTTGGTTTTGATTTAATTAAACCTTGCTTTGATCTTCTAATCTTCTTCTTAAGTAGCTTCACAAGCAACTCACCCACTTAAAAACAGTAACCACTCTTATGTTGCACTCGTGCACTTCTCGTATGGCAAAATCTTCATGTTAATGTCACTTTATTGGAGTACTATCAATAGGAATTTGTGAATGTCGACTAGGGAGATTGTAAGTTCATTGGACAACCAATAGAACGACCCACGATAACATTACATTGATAAAAAGAGATCTAGCGAGAAATTTCAACAATTATGCTACATCGAAACCGAGAATGTGGACACGAACAGTTCTTTTTGTAGGACAAGTATAAATGAGACAACTTAAGACAAAACGAAATAAATTCTTATACTCTTCAAAATGACACAGAAAAATGGTGATTAAGACCATCGTGGGGTTGGCAAAGTCTGATTGTGGGAAGAGAAGCTATAGAAAAGGAAGCCAGATGGAGAGTCGGGGATGGTAGGAAAATTAAAACTAGAGAGGATGTATGGCTCCCTATAGGGAAGATTGGAGGTCCAGCAAGGCAGAATGAACCACAACAGGTGGCTGACCTTATCAACCAGGAAACCCACGAATGGAAAGAACAAGAATTGAAAGAAATCTTTCAAGAGGAAGTGGTGAATCAGATATTGCTAATCCCTATCAGCACAACTCCAGTAGAGGATAAATTGATATGGGCAGGCACCAACTCAGGAGATTATACAGTCAAAGGGGGCTACAACCGCATCCGAATGACAGATAGCATGCAAGATAATAACAACCAGGCCTCATCATCATACCAGCCACCTAGAAACCTATGGACTTCAATTTGGCAGCTACCAGTTTACCCAAAGATACGTTTCTTCCTATGGAGCTTATGTCAAAATGCTCTCCCAACTCGGGAAAACCTCTATAAACGCAAGTGCGTACCTGACCCTCTTTGTCCCATCTGTCGCAACCATCCTGAAACCACAGAGCACCTATTCCTGCTATGTAAATGGACAACCCAAGTTTGGTCAGATTACAGAATTTGCATCAACATACAGCCGGCCCAAATTACCCGTATCGAAGCATGGCTAGCAACGTACCTCGCAATTGGTCTGAACAGTGAAACGTCCTCCCCACTGGCACGCATAGCGGACTGCTTATGGCAGATCTGGAAAGGGCGAAACGCCCTGATTTTTCGCAAGCGGAAGCCGAACCCATGGCTGGTGGTAGAGGAAGCCATTAATACCGGGAATAGCTACACAAAGTTCGCCATCATCAAAGAGAAAACACGAGGGCAGAAACTAAAGGAAGCCCCCGAAGTTTGGAAGCCACCGGAGAAGGGGAGCCGTAAATGGAACGTAGACGCGGCCTGGAGCGCCGAGTCGGGGAACGGATCTGTTGCGGGACTATGTCAAGATCACGAAGGGAGGAT